GCTCAGCCAGGAGCAGGGCTGAGTGTGTGTATATATCACCGTCTCACGGGCTGGGCACGGCAAGTTTCTGTAGTCGCCGTCAGCTCACGCTGCAGATGAGGCAGCAGGGTGTCAGTAACAGACGGTAAGCTCCGGGAGTACCATGGTCTGCCTGCCTTGCTCCCCACGGGCAACCTTAGCACTTAACTCCGTGCTTGGCAGACCGTACTAGATGGTGCCCAGCAGTACTGCTGGCTGGTTGGAAAGATGGATAAGGCTTGGCTGGAGAGGGTGGATGGGTGGATGAATGGAGGAGTGAATAGGTGAACGGGTAGATGAAGCAGAGCTCGGATCTGAAGTCTGCTGATTGCAAAGCCTGCACTCCTGGTCGCGAAGCCATACTGCCTCTGACTTTGATACCCTCCACCTGCATGGGTGGGGATTTTTTTTTTTCTTATATACCTTAACTGAGGTGTAATGTACGTGGCATAAGATTCAAAAATTCACCTATTGTGAGTAAGTGATTCAGTAATAGTAGTAAATTTATAGCTGTGCAGCCATCACAATGCAGGTTTAGAATATTTCCATCATCTGCAAGACGTCCTCATATCTGTTCGCAGTTCTAACCCCTGTTGCCACCTCCCAACCCCAGGCACTTTCTGTCTATAAATTTGCCTCTTTCTAGACATTTCATGTAAAAGGAGTCCTCCAGTATGTCTGTTGTGTCTGTCTTCTTTCACTTAGCATATTGGAGAGGTTCTTCTGTGTTGCAGCACATATGAGCCGTTCCATCCTTTTTACTGCCAACTACTATACCATTGTCCAGGGAGACCACTTCTTGCATCTCCATTCATCAGCTAGTGGACATCTGGGTTGAACAATGCTGCTCTGCACGTTCATGTATGTGTCTTTATGTAGAGTCTGTTTCTGTTTCTCTTGAGTAGATTTCTAGGAACAGACTTGCTAGGTTATATGATAAATGTATGTTTAACAACTTGAGAAACTGTCTAGCTGTTTCCCAATGGTGCTGTACTGATGCAGTGCACAAGGGTCCCGTTGAGTCCACACCCTCGCAGCACATGGTGGGACCTCTTGGTTCCCTCCAGCCTGATGGGTGCAGCGCGGCGTCTCTCTACGGTCGGAACCCATGTCTCCCCGATGGCCTCTCAGCTTGAGCTGCATATCCTCTGACTTCTCGGCTGGGTGGGCTTTTGACCCTTTCCAGCCTCCGGGTTAGCAAAGTTTTTCTTGAAAGTGTCAGGTGGCAAATGTTTGGGGCTCTGCAGGCTGCATATGAGCCTGTGGCTTATTCTTTTCTGTCCCCCCCCTGCCAACCCTTAAAAAAAAATGAGACCATTCTTGGCTTCCTTGCACAAAAACAAGCAGGGAGGCAGCTCCAAGGCTCCTGTCAAAGGAATCCCTCGGCCCATGCACTCGGGACACGTCAGGAGGTCTCCCACCCCTCTGGTGAAGCGAGCTCGGTAGAGGGGTCCCCACGCAGCAGAGCCGAGGGCCCGGCTGCGGGGAGCCTGGGGGTCTGGGTTCCAGAGACGGCCCCAGCCCAGTCCCGCCATGATTCATCACCACATGAGCTCATCAGACTGGCTCCTGGGATGAAACGTGCCATTTTGTCACCCAAGGCGGAGCGACCAGGCCCCTGATCTACCTCCGCCCTGCGGCTGTGCCCTGCTAGGGCTCAGAGCCCCTTCCGGGAGCCGGCTGCCTGTCCACACCCTGTAACCACTGCTGTCACAGCCGCCCTGCCCACGGCTGCTCCTACGGCCCCCAGAGCCCAGGGGACGTGTCCCAGGCCCCGAACCATTCCTGATGGCCTTCCTGTGTCTCTAGTGAACCACCTGCGCTGGCCCTACGGTGTGATAAGACACTTCTCTGGTAGCTCAGAGCCGGTTCGTACTTGTGAATCTGCCCCTCTCTAGCTGTGTGACCTGGTGTGAGTCATGTCGCCTCCTGGCTGCAGTAGCCACGTGTGTCAAGGGGCTGCCAGAGCCCAAGGGGGAAGCGGCAGGCCCCCGCTTCTCGGCCTCTCCCTCCCTGAAGGCTGCTCCCTGTAAGCCTGGGTGACCCGCCCAGGGACGTGTCTACAGGAGCACCCTGGCCTGGGCACAGGGCAGCCAGGAGCCCAGGAAGCTGGTGGGTAGCAGCCACTGGTGGGGCCCTTGGCTGGGTTGGCTCCAGGGCGTGATCTGCCCTGGCCGTCTCGTCCCCGCGGGGGTGGCGGTGCCAGCTGCCTGGTCCTAACGCTTCATGACGCCCTGGCGACTTGCTGCCCGCTCCTCCCAGCCCCACTCCCTACCTGCTCTCCTGCGTTCTCCATCACCTGCCAGTAAATAAAGCATCTGCCCCGGGTGCTTGTCTGAGGCCCTGCTCCCAGGGCTCCTGGCAGGTCCCCGGCTCCTGGGGTGAGCGGGAGGATGGCACAAGCTGACTCCTTGGAGCGCCCTGCACGGTGCCCAGTGGGCCGCAGTGCGTGCTCGGTAAACGTCAGCCTTCGTCAGCCCCTGGGAACTTCCAGCGGGGACGCCTCTCAGGCAGGGGCCTGTGGGAAAGCTGTCATCCCCCCCAGTCTGTCGAGGGGGGCTGTGTCTGTGAGCCCGAGGCTGGGCGTGCCTCGGAGGGGCCTTGTGGGAAGCTGGGGCACCCAGAGGGCCCTCCCCCTGGGCCGTGTGTCCCGGAGTCTCGGCGATGTCCAGGTGTGGGTACCCGGGGACGGAGGGACCACGCTCACGGCCACCAAGCCCCATGGGCCAAGTCTAAAGGAGAGCTGGCTGAAACAGCGTTCACCGAAGATTAATGATGGCTATTTCTAGGTGGTGGGATCTCTGAGGCCCTTTTTTCATTGATCCTTTCCTCTGTGTTTTTCAGCACAGTTTACATTTCTCACAGTGAGCATGCCCCGTTTTCACAAAAAGAATGAAGTCATTATTCTCTCCAAAATAAATAACCTGCAGCTGATTAGAAGAGAGGGCGCTTAAAGCCCAGACCGTAGGCCCATCTAGAATATACCAGGGGAAGACCTGCCTGTGCGTCCTTGTGGTTTTCTTTGGGGCTTAATATACGGCAAGTTTCTGCAACCATCTCATGGTCATTTAAAAAAGTAAGCGATTCTCTGGTCCCAGAGCTGACCCGCAACGTCCAGCACTCAAAGGAGCATTCATCTTCAGGGCTGGGTCAGGTTCTTGCCTTGCAAAGTGTCTCTGCTGCCTGAGATTTCGGGCGCTGTGTGTCTGCCCGGACCTGGCCACGCTCCTGGCTGACAGTCGCTGGGACTGAGGCTGGTTACCGCCCCAGGGAAGCCTTGGGAAGCTGGGTGCACCTCGTCACGAGAGAGCAGGGTTTGGTGAATACTGCCAGTCACCGTCATCCCCGTTAACGATGTGTGCTGTTCAGTAAACACCCCCTACCACACGCACAGAGAAGTTGCCATGGTTTCTTCCGGCCCTGGTAGGGTCTAAGATGACTGACAAGTAAATGTCTCCACGCTGTTCAGTACCCCACTTGAGGAAACCTGTGCTGTCTTCTCGGCAGCAGCTGGGGGTGGAGAGTTGAGGGAGGTGGGGGAGGTGGAGGGTGTGTGGAGAGAGAGGGAGGGAAGGAGACGGCTTTACTTGAGAGGGCTGGGACGAAGACTGGGAGGTCCTCCCAGGTGTGAGTCCACCCAGTGGGGGATGGCGGTGCTGATGGGCGTGATTAGCAAGGAAGAGGCTCCAGAATACCGCGGAGTGTGAGGTGGGAGAAAGAACATCAGGATGCTGTAATGTCTGGATCACAGTGGCTCGTAGGTTTCATCCCTTTCTAGTTTCTCGGGAGACCAGCCGAGTGTCTGAGTTCCCTCTTTGTTCCTTGGTTGTGCTTCTTGGACTGTGCTTCTGAGCACAACCCCGTCCAGAGAGGGGACCACGCGGTTCTGGGGTTTGTAAGGCTTACACAGTGGACGAGGCCACAGGCCGTTTTCATGCATAATTTATAGAAGCGGAAACCAAGGCTTAGGAGGTGGAATGCTTTATGGGAAGAACCGGGTCTGATTCCACAGTTCTGCCTGGGGGTTTCCACCATGATGCCTCCCTCAGCACCCTGAGCTACTTGGTCCCATGTGGACTTTGTCCCCCAGATGTTCCGTTCTAGGCCTTGGGGTCCAAAACCCTTCATCCTTCTTAATTCAGAAACCCAGTGGTCGGGGGGATGCTGGAGGCCTGCGAGCTCGTCTCTGGGCCTCAGGCCAGCGTGAGACCCTCTCCGCCTCCTCCCCTCGTTCAGACTTTGGCTTGGAGGCTGTGACATGTCACCCAGCTGGCTGCTGGCTCCGTGACTTTAAAATTAGGTTTTCCCCAGGGAGCGGGGCACTTAATGAAGGAGTTTATCCAGTTAGAAAGAGAGGCTCCCAGGCAAGCCGGGCGGCAGCGAGGCAGGCAGCTGCTGGGACCACGGCCTTCGGAGAGGGCTTCTGTTTCCATGATGTCAGAGGGCGGAACCAGCCTGGCCCCTGCTCCAGCCGCTCCCCAGCTCTGGGTGCAGAGGCGAGAAGGCCCTGTCTTACTCCCCACGTGCAGTCTGAGGACCACTCTGGGCACAGTCTCTGCCTGGCTGGAGCTGAATTCCAGGCCCCGAGCCTGTCTGTCTGGTTTCCCAGCTGCTCACACTCTCCAGGCGGCCTTGAAGGACCAGGGTGAGCAGAAACATTGCCTCCAACACAAAGAAAGTACCTTCCTGCTCTGATTGCATTAGAATACTTGGGGAATGAGTTTGGCACAAGATGCAGTTTGAAGGATAACTATCTTCATCCTTTTCAAAAGGTCACTGGAAGCAGGGTAGAAATGACTTTCCTAGTGGTCAGGAGGCCTGGCTGTCTGCAGCTGCAGCCTTCGACTTGGGGCAACACTCTGTTCTTCCCGGATGGGATTCTGATGGGGAGGGAGGGAGGTGTCCACCCTGAAGCAGTGGAGTCACCGATCGTGTTGTATATTTCGATCACCCACGTGGGTCTCTTCCTGTCTCCCAATCAGAAAAAGATTTACAAATACAAGAAAGTCCTGAGTAACCCGAGCCGTTGGGAGGTCGTCCTGAAGGAGATTCGGACGCTGGTGGACATGGCTCTGACATCCCCTCTGCAGGACGATTCCATCAACCAGGCCCCACTGGAAATCGTCTCAAAACTGCTCTCAGAGGTAAGGCTGCCCGTTGGCCTGATCTGGCTCTGCGCCACCCGCCCCCACCCCAGCCCCCTCCAACATTTTGAAGTTTTATTCCTTTACGGGGTCCTCTGAGCACCACCCTGTGCCAAGCGGCAGATGGAATTCGAGTTTGTGTTGTTTCCCCATCATGGGAGGTGAGTTGTCCCCCAGTGGCACAAGGGAGCTGAGAAGGAGGTCAGGTCGAGGGGAGAGTGGTTGTCACTCCACGGTGCTCCAGGACCTGCTTTGGGACAGGACCTGGCAGGTGCTGGCCTGGACCTGAGATGGGCTGGCAGCGGTGGTGATGGCAGCTGCTGTCAGAATCCTCTAGTTCATCCCGGGTGGGAGCGCATCTGTGAAGCCCCCAGACCGCCCTTCCTCTACCCCTGGCCCTGGCCGCCTCCGTCTCCCCCCACCCTGAGCACTGGGGTTCTGGGCAGATGTGGCTTCCTGCTCTCCTCGGCACCCACAGCCCACAGCCACACTCTGTTTAGCTTGCACAGGGTTTTAAAAATCGAGAGGCTTCACTACAAAGTAGGACTTTGCAGGTTCTCTTTAGAAACAATCAGAACGCCTAGCAGCAGTTGGCAGCTGGCTGCTCAGCGCCACCCAGCTGAGCCTCCAGCTTCGCCAGGCAGCCCCAGGCTGTGAGCATGTGCCATGTGCCAGGCGCGGCCCCTGGCTCCTGGATAAAGGCGGTCTCCTCCCTCTTGGGGAGGAAAGACGGTGGGACATGAGGCTTGATCTTAGTCGGCTAAGCTGCTCAATGGAGGGCGAGGGGCGCCCGGGAGCGTCTCACCATTTCCTCTGTCCCAGTGCTATTCTGAGCGCTTCACAGAGGTCAATACTGCCCTCATTCATTTGCTCCCTGGCCCCCAAGGGACCCTGGGGTTGATGACTCCTGGTCTCAGCTATGCATGGCCACCAGAGTGGTCTCTCTCTCCCTCTCCCCTAGGAGTGGCCCCGGTTCCCTGGGTGGCTCCTCCACCCCCTCTCAGAACCTGCACAAGGTCCCTGCTACCTAGAACCTCCGTCCTGTCACAGACGCAGGCTGGTTGCTGCCCATTGGTTCAGAAAACTGGCCCAGGCCTTCCACATCTGCTGAAGAGAGAGGGTCCTGCACCCTGGGGGGAGGTGGGGGCGGGCGGTGAAAGGTGCATGGCAGAGATGGCCGTGGGCAGAGGGTGTGACCGTTCTCAGGTGGGAGACCAGCCTCGTCCCATGGGAGCATCAAGACTCCGGTCTGAAACGGATCACAGTCATGGTCTGGGATGTGAGGCCAGCCGCCATCAGCCCAGCCTTGAGTCCAGCTCCCAGCCTGAGCGGGTGGGGCTGGTCAGCAGGCCTGGGCTGGTTTCTCATGGGAGACAGCAGGGCAGCTCATCCTCAGGATGCACCTCTCATGTTCCAGGCGGGCTCCAGGCACACAGCATTCCCCGAGAGAAGGGCGTCGCTGCCTCCATTTCACAGATGGGGAAACCGAGTCCCAGCGATACCGTGTGACCTGCTGAGTAAGCCGTGGGGCTGGAAATTCCACCCCGAAGGGCGGCCTGGCCCCCACCACACAGTCACTCTGACCACTTTGTTGGCCCCACCAGTCTCAGCCACCATCTCTAAGTCAGGCTCGTGGTCAGCGTGGTGGGGACAGCGGCAGGTGACCCCATGGCCAGCCTCTGCTGGGACTTCCTGCCCATCTCAGATGTGGTTTCACGTGGCCACAGGGTCACGGACTTCACATCACTTCTCAGGCCTTAAATCAAGGGACTCAGAGTCAGCTGATCCCAAGTGCTAGGATAGAGAAACGAAGGCATTTAAAGAAACAAATTTGGGAGAAGCTTGTATCTGCTCTGCACCTGCTGGGTGTCAGACAGGCAGGGGGCCCATATTGTCCCCGATGTATTGATGAGTGCGGCCGTTGGCAAGGGACCGAGCCGGGGCTGCAGCCCAGGCGGCGTCCCCTCCAGTGAGGTTCACGCCTCTGCCAGTAACACTGAGGTTCTCTGAGCACGTGCCCTGTGAGGATCAGGGTGGCAGACATTTACCCCAGCCCCTTTACATTTCTCCCCGGGACTCTGCTTTGGAAGCACACGGAATCGCAAATGGAGGCTCTGCAGGGTTAGGTCGGCTGCCCAGGGTCACTTGGATGAGGGGTGGGCAGGACCCAGGCCCAGGTCTGCCCCACTGCGAGGCTGATGGGATGTTACCTGAACTGGTGGAGACTTCGGTGAGCCAGGGACCAGGCCCCTAGAGCTGCAGTGTGCGGAGTCGGCAAGTCATGGTTATACCCACAGGAGCTCACGGGCCTTACACAAGGAGCTAGGTCTCTCAGTGGGTTGACCTAAGATTAGCTCCCGTTTCCTAGTTAGGGATTGGGTGTCCTCAAGTGTATACAGAGCCTGGCTCTGTGCATGATATACAGGGACCAGTTGATAAATGCTCACATTTCTGTCATGGTGGGAGATGGCTATGAACTTGACCTTTAGCACTGTCAGCTGGATACGTAGAGGGGATGGCTGGAAAAGCAAGCGCTCACCACTCCTTGCCCTTTTTTGTTTAGAGCATATGGACTAGATTCTTTGTTCTCTTTACTCAAGTTGCTGCCCAAGCCTCCTCCTCCTAAGAGGCTCCAGGCATCATCACAAAATTGACCTAAAAGTGGGCAGGATCCTGAGAAGGGAGAAGGAGGACAGGCCTGTGAAAGCCAGCATCCCCCGCCTCCCAGGCTTTTGTTGGGTCGAATGTGTGGAGGGGCCACTCTGTGTGGCATGCAAGTGTCCCCTCCAACACAGTGGCTGTTAGTGAGCGCTCCCCATCCAGGGTCAGGAGGGGCCTCAGTGGAGAGAAGGCTCCCTGAGAAGGGCACGGGCTGTCACCGGCAGCGGGGACCAAAGAGACACACCCGTGCCTGCTGGAGACTCTCGCTGGAACTGTGCGTGGGATAGCGAGGCCCAGTGGTTCCTTCGGCGTGCCCCCGGCAGCCCGAAAGGGGAACTGGCCCTCGTGTGGCCCGAGCCCCCAGCTCAGTGGTAGGAGGTGGGAGCTCAGGGACAGGGCAGACGGGGATCACAGCCCCACTCCACCCCGTCATCCCTGCCGCTGGGCGAGCCCCTGGCTATAGAACCTGTCACAGGCGCAGGAAGCAGGTGGAAGGAGTGTAGCGGAGCCCCGACAGAGCGCCTGAAGCGTGGTGAGCAGAGCAGTGAAAGCCAGGCTTTTTACCTGCCCTTGGCTGAGAAACGGCTAAAAATCTGCCATCCACAGCTGCTCAGACGCCACCCACATCCACAGAAAGAAAAGGTGTTAGAGTCCAAGCAGCATCCCCCGCAACACGGTCTGGACCCTGGGCACATGGGTCGGGCGGTCGCCGTGGGAACCGGGATGCTCCCGGCGCTCACCCCGCCTCCCTCGGCGGCCAGCTGCCTGGACCAAAGCAGAAGGATAGCTCCCTCGCTTTTCCTTTGCTTTGGCTGGTGTAAACGCATTGGATACCAGACACTCCTTAAACCTGTTCAGCCCGTGGGGCTCCTTCCAGAATCCAGGGACCGTGTCGGTCTTGCCATTTACTGCACAGTGAGGAGTTTGCGTTATGAACACCTGTTGGAAAGAAAGAGTCGACACCAGTGAAAGTCTGCATCCACGGAGACGCTCAGAGCAGAACACACCAGGATGCTAGCGAAACAGACGAGGCTCTGCTTGGGTTTTCTCACTGTCTCTTGTTTATTGCATATCTGTCCCTTTCCTCATTCACATCCTCATTCTTATACACAGGATGATGGTCACAGGTACCAGTTGTGTAAGAAAATTCCAGATGGGGAGGAGAGAAAAAAAAACCCTAAAAATCTAGCAAGTTTAATCCATTCTACTTATTACTTTTGCAGATTAGTCGCTAGGATTTTACCATGGCTAAACCATCTTGGGCCAACATCATGGAACACTCATGTTCCTTGGGATCCCCTGAAATACTTCTCAAAGACTGGCTGACAGAGAGTCAAGACCCAAAAGTGTGGTTCTACGTGTTTATCACGCACCTGCCTCCAGGCTTCCAGGTGGTGTGTGTCGCCATGAGAAGGGCCAAGCTCGGGTTTAAGCCCGAAGTGGACCGCATCTGTGAACGGAGAGACTGTCTCACTGAGGACTGACTCGTCTGAGGGCGTGTCAGTCCACTGGTGAAACAGGGACTGGGAACTCTCTTCTCTCTGCCCCACGGCTGTGCGTCCTCCCACCCCCCATTTCCCGACTGTGACTTTGGTCGGCTTCTGATCTATTTAATTAAGAAAGAGCGACAACCGTCCTCTGTCCGAGAGGCTGAAAGCGGTTTTGAAGCCGTGTGGACCTTTGAGATACCAGTGTTCCATCTTACTAACTGTGTGTCTTGTTCTGTTTTCCTCCCGCTCTCCCTGCTCGCCCTTCAGAACACAAACTTGACCACCCAGGAGCACGAGAACATCATCGTGGTAAGTCCCGGGCGGCCCCCTCCCTCGCCCCCTCCCGTGCCCGCAGCCCTCCCCGGGTTTGAGTGAATTCCTCAAGCACCAGCGTCATCTACCAGCACGGCGGCCTCGCTCAGGTTTGTCCCTTCCGTCAGGCCAGACATGCCTCCCTCCTGTCTTTGCACATGTCAGAGCCCCAGCTGATGGGAGGGGGTGGTAATTATCAGTCTCTGAGGCTTGTAGCAAATGTGTCTTAATCGCCTCCTCCTTCCTGAATCTGCTGTGCAGAGTCAGAGGCAGGAGATGGCAGAGACCATATAATGTATTCTCAGCCATAACCCCATTAGCTGAAAGGTAAACTTGCTCTTTCTTGCCCCAGGACCTGTCTCCTAATTAATCCACACACAGAGCCTGGATTTAATTCCCTCTGATGTGCAAAGTGAGGGATAGTCTCTGGGACTTGACTATGACTGTAAGCGTGTTTGAGGTGAAACATCCTTCCTGGGTAATTCTAAGCTATGAAGTGTGACTCTCACCAGAGAGAAGAAGGGAAAGAAGTTGCCCCTTCTGGGCACCAGGCCCTGTGCTGTGTGTTTGAATTCATGGATAATGAAGACAGCCCCTGCTCCCAAGGAGTCCTTCATCTATTAAATGAGATCATTGCAAAGATAGAGGCTTGTAATCTGGAGAGTGGAGTGGTGAACTCACCTAGGAAAGAAGCCAGAGAGCTTCCCAGAGGCAGTGAGGTTCTGGGCTGGGTTTTGAAGGATCAATAGGAGTGTGCCAGATGGGGGAAACAGAGGAAAGTCTTTCCAGAGAGAGAAAACAAAGTGTGCACAGAGATTTTAAGCTACACGGGGTATTCTGGACGCTTCAGCTTTGCTGGAGCCTGAAACGTTAAGGCAGTGGAAGCAGGAAGGCAGAACTTGAAATGGAAGTGAGAGGCAGAGCTCTATGTGCCTGGGAAAGGGTCTGGAACATTTGGCTGCCCAGGAGGTCCCGTGGGTACAGCCTTTGACACAAGGGCAACATCCCAGACACCATGCCCCTTTGAATTGCATTTTAATCATGGAGTGTAAAGGCCGCAGCTTCTGTGGAGCCCCCACCGCAGAGTCACTCACCGCAGCTGCTCGCTGTGTGTCTGCTCAGAATGTAGAGGTTTTCCCCACGCTCTGTCCTGGCCACCCCTCACCTTCTCTTGCTAGAACAGGGGCAGCATTGACCTGGGCCTCCCCACCACCTCGTTTCTCTGGCATACTATCAATTAATAATGTAACATAACAGACATCTGTTGACCCGTGAGGACAAGTATGTGCCAGATGCTGGTCTCTGTTCCGCCGACAGAGCTGCCATTGAGGGATTACTGTGTGCTGGGGGAACCTGGCAGATAATCCAGAAATCACGCGGTCTGGGCTGGAGATGCATCCAGGGAGTTGGGGAGCACAGAGGGACTGGGAGGAAGATGACGGAGGACTTCAAGGAGGAGGTGAGGGGGCTGGAGTCCTAACAAGGGGATAGGAGGCTCCAGGGCACGGCCGTCTAGGGAGCCCAGCAGAGGCAAAGGCAAAGAGGCCCTGTCTGTTGAAGCAGGCGGCAGCCGAGCAAGGCACTGGCGTCTTTCCCTCCCGGCTGGCGGCACCCGGGTCCCACTCTGCACCTTGTCTCCCAAAGCGGGGTCAGGACCTTGGACTTGGGAGGAGCCTGGGAAAGGAATTTTGATCTGAGAAATCCGGGCTGCGTTTATCCAGCTAATTTAGCTGGGCTGACCTCTTAATTGCACTGGGCTGAGTTTCCCTGCTCAGCGGGGAGGCCTGAGAACGGGAAAGAATGTGATCCCGAGGTCTGACCCCCAGCCCCCCGTTTTGCAGCCTCGCCCGCGTTCCGTGTTCTCTGTGACCAGTGCTGTTAAAATGAGCACACGGCCTCTGTCACCTTCGTCCACTCCAGCAGTTACATTATCTGATCTGACTTGTTGACAGTCAGTCTTCTCCCAACAGGGATTGGTATTAGGTTTTTTTTTTTTTTAATGTACTTAGTTTTCCGAAATACTTTCACAAGTAATTTGAGTTGGTTTTATTCAGCCCATCAGTCAGGCATCAGTGCTGTGGGTCATTGTTGGCCAGTAGCAGCTGGCCTGTCATGGGACAAGCGTGGACCTGGGGTGCAGACCCTGGCAGGGCTCCCACGTGCTGGTGAAGAGCGTGGGCTTAAAGCCGAGTATGGTTCGAGTTCAGAGGCGAGTGACCCTGGGCCAACGTCATACCAGCTGAGACCTTGGGCAAATAATGAAGAGCTTTTACTTTTACTTAAAATATCTTTTAAGATATTCTTTACTTTTATAAGAATTTCATGAGTATATTTTTAAAAACAAAAAAGAAAAGATTTCATCCCATCCCAGCCCTGGGGCATCTCAGGGGGTGATAAACCCATACAGAGAGATACGGTTGTGTATTTATATTTCGTTTTTAACATTAATGATGTGAAGCTGAATGTGTTGTTCTGTGTGTGGTTTGTTCACTTAACAACATGCCTTGGAGATTCTCTTGAGCCCTTTCTTGCATGTCTGACCCGGGGTGTCTTGCCCTCAGCACTAGTGACGTATGTGCATGGAGGGCTGTTCGTAATGGGGGCTGTCCCGCCCATTGTAGGACATCACAGCGTCACTGGCCGCGACCCCGAGTGCCAGCCACATCCCCCTGTCATGACAATCAGACTGTCTCCAGACATGCTAGTGCCCCCTGGGAGGGGGCAGAGCAACCCCGGGGGAGAACCCCTGGTCTGCCCTGTACTCCATTCACTGTACTGCCTTGACACTCTAAGCCTCAGCCTTCTCATCTGTGAAATGGGTGTGAGCACAGTGCCTTTCCTGCAGGGCTGCTGGAACAATTAACTGGGAACGATTCCACAAGAAACACCCTCTTTTTTTAATAATATGATCTAAAATGCTCACTACTCCATGACTGGGGCAGGGCTTGTAACAGCCTCCCCGCCCCTCTGTCTCTTCACCTATACGAGTGGAAATCACTCCCGTTTGACCTCACAGAGTTGTCATGAGGCTCAAATGAGATAATAGCCATGGGAGCGTGGAGCCCCCGCCTGACACGCACTGTGGATGCTTAATCTGTTCCCACTCCTTCATTCTTTGACTCATTCCTGTGAAGGGGGGGCCCAGCCTGATGGAAGGGGCTGGAGCCAGGGGGCTCCATCCTGCCTCAGGGTCCCCCTCCCAGAGACCAGAGCGGGCAGCGGGGCTGAGGGCCAGGCCGGGACTCGGGCGGGGGGAGGCCCCGGCCCCTGCCCCTGCTGTGACCCGGCCTCTCCCGTGGTCGCCCGCATGGGGAAGCGGAGCATCCCCGTCCAGCGGGCCGGGCACTGAGCTTCTGAGAATGAGGTGCGGAGCCCAAACTGTGGGCCTGGCTTACTTGGGGTCTCTCACTGCCCCCCTTTCCCTTCTCTGGCGCTGTCCCCAGACGGCTTGCCTGTATCCCGGTCCTGTGGAGAGCTCAGGCTGAGAAGTCGGCTGGTGAATAGCTCAGGTTCTTGGGTCACATTTGAGGGTTCAAATCTGGCTCTAACACCTCCTACCCATGTGACCCTGGGCCGCAGACTTCGCCTCTCTAAGGAAAGGGCAGGACGCACACCCGCCTCCCAGCGCGTAGTGAAGAGTGGGTGACGGGACACAGCCCGGAGCCCAGCACAGACAAGCGCCCCGTTATAGCAGCGGCTGCTGTGATGTTGCTCATGGTGTGCTGGTATTATCACCAGTGCAGTGATTGGTACACGTGGCTGTGGGGGACACCACGAGGGTGGTGGGCTCAGCCTCGCGGTCGGCTTGCAGCCCACCACCCCCTTCCCACGCCATGGGGAGAGCTTCCCGTGGTAATGGGCATGCCCTCTGCCTGCCCTGTACACGGCGGTGGCCGCTAGCTTCATGGCACTGGTGAGCGCTTGAAATGTGTTTAGCACTGAGGAACTGTACTTTTATTGCCTTGAAATTATTTTCTTGGGGCTTCCCTGGCAGCCCAGTGGTGGTTAGAACTCTGCTTCTGCTGCAGGTTTGATCACTGGTTGGGGAACTAAGATCCTGTAAGCCACATGGCATGGCTAAAAAAAAAAAGGTTTTCTCCCATGTCACTTAAAATGGTAAGATCCACAGGTGGCCAGTGGCTACTATATTGAACAGCACAGCCCCAGGCAAGTAAAACCCTGGGCCCCCTCTCTGCCTGTGGGTCAGCCTGCCCGTTGCCACTGTGAACAGAGCCTCAGTCTCCATGGCTTCGTCTTCCACTGAGGTGCTCACGTAACTGGCCTTGTCTGCCCAGACAGCGACCGGGAGGTCGTGCTTTCCACTGTGAATCAACCCTCGTGTATTGACACACCCCCTGCGATTCCTTCCGAGGGATTCTGACTGACGTGTGTTCCTCTTCTTCCAGGCAATCGCTCCTTTGCTGGAAAACAACCATCCACCACCCGATCTCTGTGAATTCTTCTGCAAGGTATGGCATCGCTGAAGCGGGGCTGTTTGCAGGAAGCAGCCTGTCTCCGTGTGTGCGTTGCGGGGGTTGGTTTTGCAAAATTTCCTGAAAACCCAAACTCAGACTCCTCCCTGAACAGATCAGGGCCCCAGACAGAGTCAGAGACGAGCCAGGCCCCCGTCTCCGCCACACAGGTAGTAAGTGAGGCCCAGGGTCCAGACCAACAGGTTGAGGGGAACACTGAGCTTTTCCTGGGAGTATCTTCCTGGCCGTCTTGAGAGAAGTTTGCAGCACATCTTCTGGCTCCTGACATCAGAGCTGGGCTTTTATTAGCCAGGGCTCCTGTGATCACTGGCCGGCCCACAGTGGGAGCGTGGCCATGGGGCTCCCTCAGCTGGGCAAGCGTTGGGGGGTTGGGGGTGCAGGTGAGCTTGGAGGAGCCTCAGAGCAGGATCTCTGCTCCCAGGGATCCAGCGTCAGCCTCGAGGTAGGGATTCACACAGAGTACGCCCAGAGCACATCGGGACCAGTCATCCTTCACTCGAGACTGCACCTCAGCGACTTGGGGGCTGGACCAGCAGGCAGTCCTGCTTGGTCCCTTGCCGGGTGACTTTTTAACTCAATGATCTGATGTCCTTGGACAGTCGCTGGGCCTGGGTTTGCTGCTCGTCCAGCTCCCCTGGTCTTCCTCCTGCCGACCCCCTTCCCCAAGTTCTTGGGTGTGTGGTCTGTATGCACCAGTGAGACAGGTGCAGCGTGGCCAGGCGGGCACTGAGGGCCCGCTAGTTCTTGAGATCTCGGGAGAGTTTATTTATCAAGGATTGTCCAGGAAAGCCCTGGGTTCTCATATCCCAAGTCCAGGCCCTCTGGAAATAGCGCCTTCAGGCCCCGGCAGGTTTAAATGTGTTGGAGCAGAGGGTCCCATCTGCTCCACCCGAGGGCCTTCAATTTCATTTTGAAAAACAAAACCCCATGCCAGTGAGATAAATACACCAAGAGCCACGTGTGCCCTGCACATGGCAGCGAGCTTACTGTTAAAGCCCTCGACTAAAAAGTCACAGAATTTTTGAGATTCTCATGTCCAAACACCAGCCTCCAGTTTTCAAGAGACTCTTCCCATTGGACCTTCGTGCTACAGAAATCTCACCCTGTTAAATAGGACTGTGTGATAGGACTGTCCTGTTAAATAGGATTCCGGAAACAACTGCAGACTGTCAGATCAAAACAGAGAGCAAGCAGGAGGTCCCATCCCTACCCACTTCTCTTACTCTCCCCAAAGGGAACAGAAAGCCATACAGCACTGTGGAGCAGGGGGCCCGAGGCAGCAGAGCTGGGCCCCCCCGCCTCCCCCACACACCGTGGTCAGGGCTTCCGGGGGCCCCAGCTGGACCCCGCCTGGTTCAGCCCTGACTGTGTCCTGCTGTCTCCCCAGCACTGCAGAGAGCGGCCCCGGTCCATGGTGGTCATCGAAGTGTTCACCCCCGTGGTCCAGAGAATCCTGAAGCATAACATGGTGAGTTGCCCCGGGCCCCCCACCGCAGAGCCCGCCGAAGGCCACGAGCTTCCAGTCTGTCACTTTTCCCAAAAATCTGGGGGATGGGGCTAGCAGCCAAGGGCCGGGGGACTGGACTTGGGATTGCCAGTTGAGGTCTGCATACAGCCTGTCCTGCTCGGCTGTATGCTTTACAGATAAAAGGCGGCAGGAAGAATCTTTGCACAGTAAGAATGACAAAAATAACGTGGTTTGGGGAGAAGAGATAGGTCTCGTGTGTATAGCATCACAGATAATACCTGTGGAACCTTGGCCCTCGAGGAGGGGGCGTGAACCCCTCACTGCATAGGAGGGCTGCCGATGGCAGTGTCCCTGGAAGCGGGGAGCAGGGCCGTGTGGTGCAGGCCCTGATGGTCGTGACCTCAGCCAGCTGGGCGAGGTCAAGGTCAACAGTGAGAAGTCAGAGTGTGGCAGGCAGCCTTTGTGATGTGAGCAGGAGGGCCCCGGCCCACGGGGGTCTTCTCTGTCCAACCCTCTGCCTCGGTCTGATCGTGAGAAAAGCCTCAGACCAGTCCCAGCTGAGGAGCGTTCCACACGACGGTCCTCCAAAAGGCCGCGTGCTCAAACACAAGGAGAGTCCGAGAGGCGGTCACAGCCTCGAGGCCCCAAGGGACCTGACGACTCAGTGTCACAGGTGTTCAGGAGGGGATCCCAGGACAGGAAAAGGGCGTGCGTGAAACGCGAGGAGATCCGCGTTGAGTCTGCCCTGTAGTCAATTTTAAAAGCACAGAGGCAGCATTTCACTGCACACTCAGTGGTCCAGGCTCCCGTAACCCACCAGCCCTTCTGCAGTCTCGCCTCGGTCCAGTGGGAACAGCCCTGGATGTGGTCGTTTTCTCTGCATTGCACATGAGGAAACTGGGGCTGAGCAGACTTGGCCGACTGGCCCCAGGACCACAGCTGGGAACCGGATCAAGTAACACCTGCACGCAGGTGCCCATGGAGCACCCCTTGGAGCCGGGTGATGCTCCAATGTATGGTCTCATGTGGCTCTCCAGATGGCCTGTGGCCTGCTGCAGACCAGGAGACCCAGAGAGTCCTGTGGGTCACTCTGGGACCCTGTGGGCAGGTGTGGAAACAGCTCTGAAGAAGGGTGACCTGCTCACAGTTTGATCTGGGAGGGCGCTTTCCTGCCTTGACACCAGGCCCCCAGAGAGGAGGATGCAGCCCACCCCCTTCCACAGTCGGGGTGAAAACACAGGACACGTGCGCCACGTGCCCCCGTCCCACACGCAGGGCAGACATCCTTAGTCGATCACAGCACTCGTCCTGCGGAGCCCAGAGTAGCGTCGGAATCTTCCTCCAGGCAGCCGTGAGCATGAGCCCACGCTGGTGCTGTGTGAATTCTCTGACCGATCGCACCCCGCCGGTGAACCGTCGCTTGTTTCAGAGCCCTCCTCTGTGGTTTGAGATGAACATGTTTTTCTTGTTTTTGGAACACAGCGGGTGGGTACCCTCCATCCAGTTTTGTCTCCAGGACTAAGAAAGAAACTCTGCTGGGGGGTGGGGGGTGAGAGGTGTTCTGCCTGATTGGGGCTTTAATCACTTCAAGGGCGCTCTCCGGCTTTGGCCAGCTGGGAGAAGAGGGTCCCGACTGTTAACTTTAAAGTCACCGTGGATGTGGCGTGAAGTGAGGGCCACGCTGTCTCAGAGCCCAGAGCAAAGGTGCTGGAGTTCCTTTGGCAAAGGACCTCATCTCATCGCAGTTGTCAGGGACAGAGCCACCCCCCCAGGGCGTCCCTGGCCAGGGTCCACCCTCCTCAGGTACAGAAGCACTTAATTAGAGTTCTCTTAGGACATCTGACTTCACAGGGGAAAACGTCAAAATTCAGGCAGCCTCCCAAGGCTTGACCATACAGCATCTCCCTTATGTCTGGTTAGTTTTATGGGCCTGGAGTGTTGACCATGTAATTTTCTGGATAAAAATCAGAACAACTACAGGGCAGACCCAGAATTTATAGCATCTGTTGTGGTCTGGCAGAGCCCGGGATCCCTCAGGCAAGAGCCCTCTCTTCATGTTTATAGAACTTACCCCCTGTGGTCCCAGCGTCCAGGGATGTGGTAAAGCTTCACAGTCCTGCTTGCTCTTGAAGTCTGCTGATTACACACCAAACTATGTGAGGAGAACTGTAGGCAGGACCGGGTCGGGAGTGAGGCCCTCCTGCAGGAGAGACCAATGTGACTGTGGCTCACGCCCCATGTGGGAAGCTCCACGAGCCTTCGGTGTCATCCCCGTAACACCCCCTAAAGCTCAGTGATCAGCCAGGACACCATTTGGGAGCTGGCATGGAGGGCCTGGTCACTTACTGGCCAGCGCATGTGCCTAGCTGGCCACCAGCCATGGACCTGTGAGCACAGTGTGAACCCTGACGGCTCTTCACCCCGTGCGCAGTGTCTCTCATTCAGGGGGCACTGGAATGTTGGGGAAGTGGGGTGGGTCACATTCCCACACACACCTGCCCCATGGTGCTTTGGGATTCCCAGTATGCAATTCCTATACTGCGCGTGCGACTCTTGTCAGTATATCACGTGTCCCATCTCAGGGATGAGCAGACCGAACCCAGGTTAAGAATCTCAAAGAATGTTACTCCCTGGGCCACAATAAAAATTAGATATGGAAGCCGTTAAGTATGTTCCCCTGGAGATTCTAAACAGTATGTTCATTGCCTCCCTAAGAATGATCACAGTCTCTGTGCCCACATGCCACTTACTAGCGTGTTCTTGTAGACACGGTGGCAGGAAGATGTGGCCATGGTCCTAATGGACCACTGGCTGATCTGACCTCCTGCTTTCCAAGGGGAGCGTGTTTGACTTTGCCAGAGAGGTAAGATGTCCCTCACCCATGTGTTCAAAGGCCACCAGACCAATCTATAATGTTAAAAATGACCTTGACTATGCAGAAATCTAACAACAGAGATGATAATGGCAGTTATCTTTAGCAGGGCTTAATGGAAGCAGTTTTCATAGAATCATAAAACCTCATGGGTGGCAGGGTCCTGGAGGTGAGTTCTTGCAGCCCTTGTTGCACAGGGGGGACAGTGGGCCCAGGGAGGGGCCTTCTCCCAGGGACTGTGGGCGTCCACCTCAGTGTGAAAGCTCAGTCAGACTTCAGGCAGGGGCCCCGTCTTCAGGCCCTGTGCACATGTGTGTGCACGTAGGTACACGTGCGCACACATGTGCACGTGTTTAGATTCCTCCTGCACTTTCTCCGTGGCTTCTGCTGCCCTCCTCACTCAGAGGCATAACTCTAGCAGGCAGGATGGGAGGAGATGAGCCCCCACCCCTCGGGGAACCTCATTCAGCCCCTCCCTGCAGGTGCAGAGCCCTAGGTCGCTCTGGAAACCTGCTCTGTGAGCTGGCCAGAGGAGGTAGCAGGCCACGTCCTACTCTGAGCTCTTTCCCCAGGGCCCGTGGGATCCATGAGATCCACAGGGCGAGTCCCCAGGGGCTCTATTTAGATTAGAGTTCTGGCCCAGGTTGCTTTTGGTTAAATGGGTTCCCCCGAGTGGGGGCCGGAGGAGAAGCCGAGGAGGCTGGAGACTGCCAGGCTCTCCCCCTCCCCCCTCCGAGGTCGTGCTGGTCAACCTCATTCCCATCCTGACCGGCCCTCCTGACTATTGGCACCCCAGCTCGTGGGTTTACAAGCCCAGCGACTCTGGGCCCCTAATGTGACATGGGATGGGATGCAGTCCTTTCCCGGCCCACACTCGCCTCCCCTGCTCTTCACACTGGACACATGATTCCTCCTTCCTGCCCCACCCCTGCTGGGCTGACCCCAGACTCACCAGCCACCTGCCTGCACACACTCCCTGTCCAGGGCACACACCTGCCTTCCAGGCCGCAGCGGGCCCAGAATCCCTCGGGAGCTGCAGAAAAGGCCTTTGTGGTCACGACTGGAGGCCGGCCGACCGTCAGCGGGTCCCCATGCGGCCCAGCTGGGCTGTGTTCCCAGCATGTCTGGGTGGCGCGCTGACCCCTGCCCCCATCTCAGGGTGGCCAACCAGTGCCAGGGACCCTCCTGTGCTAGGTCGTCTCCCAGCTCCGCAGGCAGCCGTGGACGGGCGTGAGCAGGCCCGTTCCTTCACGTGGAAGACATGTGTGCTTCTAGGAGGAGGGCGTGGCTGGCGGTGCCCCGTTGCTCCCACACCCGGGGCAGAGTGGGACCCCCCACCCCTTCTGGTCTCCCCCCAACGCCTGCCCTCTGCGCTCCCTGCAGGACTTTGGGAAGTGCCCGCGACTGAGGCTGTTTACTCAGGAGTACATCCTTGCCTTGAACGAGCTCAACGCGGGGATGGAGGTGGTGAAGAAGTTCATTCAGAGGTGGGTCTCAGCTGGGGCCCCTCCGCTCCTGGCCAGCGGGCCAGCTATCCCCGGCACCGGAACTGTGCGCTCTGCTGACGCTACGAGAGGCGCTGCTGGCGTTCAGAGGCCCTTCTGCCAGGGCCTCCTGGGTCCTCTTGGCCACATGCCGTCTGAGGCACTCACTTGCTGTGTGACGTCAAGTCAGTTGCTCTACCTCTGTGATCCTCTTTCCTCTGTTATCTACCGGGATTGTTTGTGCAATTAATGAGATGATATCTGAGGAAGCCCCTAGCACAGTGCCTGATGGTCAGTAGGAACTTGGGAAATGGTAACCATCCTAAGTGATAAGAGTATTGCTGGGGGTGTGGGGAACCATCTCCTGGTAGCCCTGGAGAGTCCTCACCGGGGATCTGAACAGCTTCTTCCCAAACTTGGCCTCGAGGAAGTCAGATCCTCTGATTCACTTCTGGTTTCAGGGCGGTAGGGGAAGGGGGATTGTTTCACTCTGATTTTTTTAAACTTTTCTCTGTGCCTCAGTTTCCTCATCTGTAAGATAAGGACTATGGTACTCGCTTCATCCAGTTGTTGTGAAGACTCGGTGAACTCACACATGTAAACACCAAGAATGAGGTCTAAGTGTGGCAGGAACGTTAGTGATCATCGTCACAACTCTTCTCTTTTTTTAAAGAAAATTGTGATAGCCTGTTCAAGCCACTTCCAAAAGCTACTCAGTACCTGGAACTCACAGAGCATTTCCAGACCCAGAGAACTGTCCTTCTGCCAGAGCCCTGGTGACCCCAGAGCCCCTTACAGCACCCAGTCATGGTTTATGAAACTGTTTCAGGTCAGGCCTCTTAGCCCCAGCAGCCATGACGTTTTTCCAGCAGTGTTTTGGGTATTATCCCCAGGCTCCAAACAGCACTGAGAGTGGGGGTACGAGACCCGTTTTACAGATGAGAAAACAGGCGCAGAGATAGCGGTAGTAAGTAACAGTGGCTGGCATTTGCAGAGGACCATGTCCCAGACCCCATGTCAGGCCAGGGTGCCGATAATAACTTCTTCTTTCAAAGCAGCCCATGTGGACAGGAAAATGAGGTGCTGTGAATACTCATTTACAGAACCACCGGGTATAAACGCGTAGGTCCCAGGCCGCCTGGCCCCTGTAGGCGACATCGTCCCCTGAATTAGAGAATTGGGTCCTGAAATGAGGAGCAGGCCGTTGTCCTCATTCCAGAGCTGAGGAAAGAGTGGAGAGTTTACGAGGCTGGAACCCAGGCTCCCTGAACTCGGGGTCCTCAGCCCGGAGCTTGGCCCTCATGCCTGCGCACAGCGGAGCCCAGGACCCAGGTCCCAGGGTTGCCACCTCCCACAGAGGACGCGGGGCTGTCCCATTCCCCCCCTCACCCGCCACGGGCGGCGCCCCCACAGCCGCCCGCTCACCGGCTCTCTGCTCTTTTCCAGCATGCATGGCCCCACGGGGCACTGCCCCCATCCCCGGGTCCTGCCCAACCTGGTGGCCGTGTGCCTGGCCGCCATCTACTCCTGCTACGAAGAGTTCATCAACAGGTCAGTGCCCTCAGCCTCGGGAGGGCCTGGGTGGGGCACGCTCTCTCCAGGGGTGGGGGTCTGCACACAGCTGGCCGGCCGGGAGGGTGGAGTGGCTTCCACTGGGGCTGCCCCCAGTTCGTCTGCCAAACCCCCGTGCTCGCTGGTGCCAGGGCCCAAGCCCAGGATGTGACTGGAGAAGCCGACACCGGAATCAGGGCTGGTGCTGCAAGGCCATTGTGTTGGCGTGACTTTAGGGACACGTGTCTCTTCTGAAGATTTCTCAGCCTCGGGCCTGTGGGACGGGAAGAGGGCATGACAGAGCCACTGTCCTGGGTCCCCCAGGGCTTGGGTGCGTTGGCTTGTGAGGGAGCTAACCCCCCGAAGGCAGTGGGAGGGAGCCCGGGAGGCCCCTGAGTGCGCCCTCGGGGACCTCCCAGGAGACTGTGCGATGCTCTCAGAGCCCTCCCCCTGAGGAATGATGACGCCAGGGTGGGTAGTTACCAGCTCCCATTCTTCCTGGGTTGAGGTTGGCTCCTAGGATGCAGTGACGTGGATGCCGTTAGTTGTATGAACTTTGTATGGTGATATCTGGGGTCATGAGGGCGCAGATGGCATCTGCTGCAGCGGCCCTGTGCAGTTGTTCAAGTGGTGCACTGCACAACTCCAAGAGGGCCAAATTGTGTCAGGGCACTGCTGGAGCCGAGACCACCACAGCAATATATTTCAGTCCTTAAAGAAGAGGCAGTGGAACATCATGAGTGGCAAACCTGAGTGAACTGGGCAACATGAAGATTTCCTGCCGGTCATTCCCAAGTGCCTGTTTCACGCTCCACAGCAGCTTATGTTTTTTTTTAAAAAAAAAAAAAAGGAGGAGGAGGTTGAGAGTAGTACACGGCCTGTACAGCCGTCCTCCGCTTCCCTGTGTACACACATGGTCACGTGCCCTTGGCTTCGCACCCTCCACCCCTAGAATTGATCCGCATGCATGTTAAACGCAGGCCACCCCAGGAAGTAGGAGGAGCATCAGGAGTGTCACACACTCTCAGGCTCCTTTTGCTCCCAAAGCCTCTGACTCATCTCGCCCTCCCCGGCTCACTCCGAGAACACCTGAGCTGGGACTCAGGTCTCGGGCAGGAGTGGGAAACGGCACCTCCCAGAGTTTTCCCTCTGAGTCTCCACGGCTCTGCCCAGGTGCCCTGGAGCAGGGATTCCATGACTCAGGGAGGAGAATGGAATCTCTCTCCCAGATCCCCCCCAGGAGAAAGAACCAGAATTGCACAGATAGGGACCTGAAGACAACAATGGCCACCTTCTTCCTTCTCTCATCCATTCTCTCTTTTTGTATTTTTTGGGAGGTCTTTTTGGCTGTGCCCCACAGCACACGGGATCTTAGTTCTCTGACTAGGGATCGACCCAGGCCCCTGCATTGGGTGCGTGGAGTCTTAACCACTCTTCCCACAAGGAGGTCCCCTGTCCTTTCAACACTCGTTTAGTGAGGGTCCATGGTGTGCCAGGTGTTGATGCCACGAAAGTGAAGCAGCCAGTCTCCCGCCCTCCCAGAGTGGCTGGTGAAATAGTGGACGGAGTGGGCGGGGAGTGAGAAAGCGAGCGGTGAGGTCAGGGCTGTGATGAAAGAAGCCAGAGGCATAAGTCACATGGTCTGCAACCCCGGGTGCACATCAGTCACCTGAGAAGGCTCTAGAAACTGAAGCCTGCATGAAACTAAGCGTAAAGTAAACCCTGGAACGCAGCTCCTCATTGCTGGGGTACCTCCATCAGAAGACAGGTAGGAGAAGGTTTATAGCAGCGTTGTTAGTCACAGCCCCAAACTTTAAGATCTGCCTCGAGCCCAGCATCCAACGGCAGCCACACGGATAAGCTGTGGTCTGTTCACACAGAGGAATGCTGCAGGGAAGCGAGGAGCGAACCAGTGCAACTGGCAAGCCGGGAATTAATCTCCCAAACACAATATGGAACAGAAGAAGCCATAGAGTGTAAATCTTGTTCCTTAAAGTGCAAGAACAGGAAAACAAGTCTATGGTGATAGAGGCCAGAATAGTGGCTGCTGGCAGGTGGAGCCTGCCATGAGAGGAGCTTCTGGGTCCTCAGGAACATTTCACATCTTGACCTTGGTCGGTGGTTCTCAGGTGGGGGCAACTTTGACCCCCCAGGGCCTATCTGGCCACGTCTGGGGACATCTTGGGTTGCAGAAGGAGGGGTGCTGCTGTAAGAGTGGGTAGAGGTCAGGGATGCTGCTGAACTCACTGCCATGCATGGGGCAGCCCCCCACCCCCAGCCCCCCAGGAATTACCTGAACTGTCTGGGAGCAAATGTCAGGTACGGAGGAAGCCTGGTCTGGTGGCTGTTACACCAGGGAACTTGTGACAGTCACAGAGCACTGCGCCTGAGATCTGTGGACTCACCTGGACTGAAGTCACCCCAGGGGTATGCTGGAGTCCACAGTCAGGGATGGCACATTGGCCGTTGAATCCGGTCATGGTGGGACTGTTTACTCCAAGAAAACTGGTAGGCAATACCCCTCAGGGCTTCTATTCTGCAGAATTGTTTGTTAGGTATTTACCAACGTCTCACTGGTTATATCTTTAAAAAGAAAACGAAGAAAGGGTGCCTGGGCCCCACCCACTGCACCTCTGAATAATTGGAATGCCCCTGGCATCAGGTTCTGTTTGGTGTTTTGGTTTTTTTTTTAACACTTTAGGCAAATGGCGTGTGTGGTCAGAGCTGAGAACCCCTGCTCTAGGGGAAAGAGAGGAAGGGGTTCTGCGGAGCGGTGATGCTTAAACTGGCACATCCTGGCTGTCAGCAGGGCCGGAGGCTGGACAGGAGGACCCAGGCAGGGGGCCTGGTGGGGCAGGGGGGCCGGCCAGTGGACACGTGTCCTCTGTCGGTGGTCCATAAGTGCCTGTTTCACAGTGCCCTGCACGGCTTACTTCAAATGCAGACTCCTGGACGCCCCGTCTCTGGGCCTGGCTTGGGAGTCTGCATTCTTGGCAAGCTCCATGGGGGATCTGCTTCAGGTGAAAGGCCCCTGCAGGGACGGTAGAGAGGGAAACTGAGTGTGACCCGAGCAGACAGAGGCACAGAGGCGGAAGACCAAGTTGGAGATGAAGGCCGGGCCACGGAGGGACTGTGCTGCTGAGCATTCCCCACCTCCCACGCCGAGCTGCTCCCGGGGTCCTCCTCCCAGGCCCGCTTGCCTGACAGACCCCCAGGACCACCATCGCTGGTCGGGGACCACTCTTTGAGGAGCAAGGCTGTGCCTGCCCTAGAGGTTTTCTTCTAAGGGCATTGTAGTCACCTGTGGGTTTTAAGTAGACAAAGGACTTAATGTCCATTTCCAGAATCCCCTCTGGAGTCCCCTCTGGCCGCTGCTGCAGAAGCCAGGCATGACCTTGGGGATACCATTAGGCAGCGGTTGCAACTTGGTGCCCAAGGTGGAGGCCTGGGGAGGGTGAAGTGGGCCCTGGTATCCTCCCCAGCCCACACGGGCGGCTCCAACTCCCCGCTCAAGACAGCCCAGCGTCAGAGCCCAAAGTGGTGTGGGTTCTGAGAGCAACCGTGAGCCCCTCCAGGAAGTCACATCGTGGGCTGCGAGACCTTTCCTGGGCTCAGGTCCACCCACCCTGCTGGTCAGTCCCTGGAAGATAAAGCCCCACGCCGCCCTCCGGGCCCATCCGCGGCGCTCTCAGTGGGTACACGATGTCCTCAGACACAAAAGAACAGACAAGCTGACCCAGGTTAGCGTAGCTCGCTGGAAAAGCACCCAGTCTGAGCCAAACAGCCTTGAAAATCCACTCCTAAATCCCAGCAGAGGCGGAGGGGATGGAGCTGAGAGCAAGTCAGCTCTGAGCCCCTGGAGTCAGCTAGCACGCCTCCCCCCGCACCGGACCACACACAGTTTTCCATGAGCCATAGAATTCTTGGACTTCAGCTCAAGGGTTTTGTTTTTTTCCGCAGCAAAGCTTAGGGTGTATTTATCAAACATCCTTGGTGGGCTCTGCTCAGACCCAGCTCGTGGCATGTGCTAGACCCTTTAGGCCCTCCCAACGCGGTGGGTGTGCATTCTACGCCCGGCCCACGTGCACAGGGAGCGTGCACATCTCTTTGGACACATAGCCGCATGCGTGTGGCCCATTTAGGGAGGGTTGGGAAGAGCAGCTGTTTGTGGTCACATCATTGTGCTCTGAGTCCCTGAGAGCAGCAGCCTCAACCTTGACAGCACACACAGAGCCCCAAACCTTACTGGTGTCGAGACTCTACCCCAGAGATTCCGACCTAATGGGACCTCAGGATGTTTAGAAGTGCCCCAAGGGACACTGGTGTCCAGCCAGTGGTGGAGAGCTCTGGTTCAGGGGCAGGAAGGGTGAGAACGGCAGGTGGAGGAAATCAGGGAAGACTTCTTGGAGGAGGAGGACCTGCATGGGCTCATCCTGGATCTTGAAGTGCAGGCAACAACCTCGTTTCACATCCCAGGCACCCCCCACCACCACCACCAGCACTAACAAGCTGTGTCATCTGGGTAGTCATTTGACCTCTGGTAGCATCTTTTCTCATCTGTAACGTGGAGAGAGTAATTCCTTCTCTTCAGAGATATCTGAGAATGTCTGTGTGAAAGTGCTCGGCACGGTGCCAGCCTAGGGGCACCAACAAAGGACGCCCACTGCTGGAGTTCCCTTCGTTCTGAAGCGCCACCTCATAGCATTTGGAAGCACCCAGGGAGGGGGCGTTTTACCCTGACACTCTGACAAGTCCTGCCGTAAAGAGGCCCAGCATTTCCCACTTACGTGTGACCTCAGTGATGCCACAGCGCCCTTTATGCAGCTGACACCTTTTAACCCTCTGCACACCGTCATTCCTCTAGGCAGTGGAGAGGTTGTTCTGGGGACTTAGCCAAGAGTGGTGGGGCGCTGCAGACAGGAGTGACCTGCGGACCGCAGGGGACCAGAATCTGAGGTTTGGGGTGCCTTGGAAGGGGGGTGCCCAGTGGAGGGCACTGAGCTTTCGCAGCCGGCAGGGATGGGGCGGCAGTGGTGGGGCTTGGGGCTTGTCCCAGGGCCCTTATGGCCGCAGCCAGAGGGGACAGTTAGACCACAGGAAGCAGCTGGAAGCCAGATCACTAGGAGGTCTCCAAGATGTGTCCAGAAGGCGTCTCGGTGGACGTGCACGTTGAGGGCCTAACGGGTCAGCAGAGAGATCAGCATTCACTTACTCACAATCGTGTGTCAACCACCTGCTCCGTGTGGGGATGCTGGCACGCGCCTTAGCAACAGGCGGCCCGGTTCAGATGCCATCTCCACCTCTCCGTGTCTGCAGGCCTTGTGCTCGCTGGTGGGTGGGAGCCAGCCACCACCCCATCCTGGGCCGCCGGGGGCACTGAGTGGGCGCAGCCCTGCCTGTGACGTCCAGGACCCCCCGGGGCTGCACTCACAGCCCTCCCCGCCTCTCCCGCAGCCGCGACAACTCCCCCAGCCTGAAGGAGATCCGGAACGGCTGCCAGCAGCCCTGCGACCGGAAGCCCACCTTACCTCTGCGCCTTCTGCACCCCAGCCCGGACCTGGTGTCTCAGGAAGCCACGCTGTCCGAGGCACGGCTCAAGTCAGTGGTCGTGGCCTCCAGCGAGATCCACGTGGAGGTGGAGCCCGCCAGCACTGCCAAGCCGGCGCTGACGGCCAGCGCGGGCGACGACAACGAGCCCAACCTCATCGACTGCCTCATGGTCAGCCCCGCCTGCAGCACCATGAGCATCGAGCTGGGCCCGCAGGCCGACCGCACGCTCGGCTGCTACGTGGAGATCCTCAAGCTGCTGTGAGTGACCCCTCCGGCCAGGCGCCTGTGGGAGGCAGGGGCTCGCAGCTGGGGGGAGCTGAGCGTGTACATGCATGAGTGTGGGTGCACAGGATGCAGATGTAGGGCGTGAGGGCACAGGTTTGTGGGGGTGTTGGGAGTACAGGCCGGGCTCTGTGTGTGCGTGTTTGTCTGAGGGCCTGGACACGTGTATCAGGCATGGGCACAAGCAGGATGTCCACACATGTGTCCAGGAGTCTGAGAATGTGTGAGTGCACACTCCTGCCCAGGGTGTGCTGCAGCACACAGTAACCGAGTGTGTCTGTGAGTATGTGGACACCTCTGCGTGTGTGTAAGGTGTGGGCTCATTCTGAGTTTGTGATTGTCCTCGTGTGCGTGTGAGTGCCTTTGGATGTATGAGGGCATGACAGCGTGTGAGTGGCTGCCTCCATGTGTGTGTGACTGTCTGCATAGACGAGCTGGATGTGGGTTGGAGGTGGATGCCTCTAAGGGGCCAATATGTGTGTTTCAAGTGCATGTACACAAGTGTCTGGGTGCTTGTGCTGCTTCTGTGCATGTGTAGCTCTTGAGTGCTCACATGTGTGTGTGAACACTTGTGCACAAGAGCTGGAGTGAGTGTGTGTTTTTGTGTATGTGTGCAGATGTGCCCATGAGCCAGCACGTGAGTATGTTGCATGATCCACACATGCTTCATGTGTGTGGTGTGTACGTGTGGTTGTGTCCCGTAGCCTCATCTGGTGGGCGGGGAGCAGCGTGCCGTGCAGATGAGGGTCCGCATGCCTGGCTGGTGCGAGGAGCCCTGGGCAGGAGCCAGGAGATCCATCTGCTCTGGGTGGTGCTTCTGAGCTGGGTGCTCCAGGCCGTGCGTGCCCCTCCCTGAGCCTCGGCTGTGGGACTCTCAGGAGCCCGTGGTGTCTGTGAGGGTGAGCACGGCATGCATGCACAGGCACACACACACACACGTGTGCACACAGATACACATGTGCATGCACACGTGCACACATGCCTGTGCACACACATGGTGTGCACACATGTGTGCACATATGCATACATTGTTAGGCAGTGGCTTCTCGTGTTTGGAGGCAACTGGATGCAGCCCCCTCAGACTCTTCCTCAGCCCTTGCTTTGGCCCCAGAGAGGAGGCAGGTGTTTCCCAGGACTCAGCCCAGCCTGGCTCATGGTTCTGGAAGCCAAGGCCAGCCCAGAGTGCACGTGCATTTAGCAATGCCCCCACCCAAAGCAAATCCCAGATTCTGCCCAGAGAGCATCCCCCAGAACGCATCTCAGTTTGAGGCTGAAGAACTGTCCACTTCCTCCCGGCGTGGCAGTCAGCCCTCCAAGGGACAGACCGGCCGCGGTCCCATCTCCTCCTCCGGCCAGGCCCTGGTCTCCTCCCCGGACCCCTGAGTCCGACTGTTTTCTGCAAACACCTGGAGCTCCCAGGCCTTGCAGTGGCCCAGGCCCTGACTCGTATTTCTCATTAAGCGCTAAGGGTTTGAGTTTCATCATGCAGTTGACACTCATTTTTTTTTCCTTCTTTGTAAACACATTCATGAATGAAGACTCTGTTCTTCCTAATCTGCTTCCAGACCTCCTGCCTACCCGCGCTGCCCAGCTGCCAGGTCATGGGTGGGGGTCGGGGGGCCCACTGGGCGGTGTTCCTGACCACTGCTCGGAGGAGCCTGGGGGTCTCCACAAAGCAGGGTGCACACCTCCTGAAGCCCTTTTCACCGTGGGGGAGCTCAGAGCACGGTCAGGCCCGGTTATTCCTTCTCCTGGCTGCTCTCCTCCACTAACTCTGCCGCCTGCTTGAGTCACTGGCCCACCGGAGGGCGTCACGTCTGTCAAATCCGCAAACCCCAGCAGCTCAGGGCACTCCAAAGTATGATCCGTTGGAAAAAGCACAGATTCAGAGCCAGGCTGTTGGGCTCAGGGGCTGGGGATGTCCGTGTCAGCTTGTGACCATGGGCAGGTTACCCGCCCTCTCTGAGTCATAGCTGCCTCCAAGCAGAGAAGGCACGGGTCTTCTCAAGGCACGGGTACAGCTCAGAGCAAGTACCCCCCAGGCATAAATACTGGGCAGGTGGGGGTTACTGTACTTTCAGCAACAACAACAACTGTATTTCATCTATTTTAAGGTACTGTTGGGACTGAGACACATGATCTATTTAATAACAGCACTTTGGGAGGGGAAAAAAAATTGGGGGGATTCAGTGCAGGCTCAGTTTGCAAGAAACGTGCATCTGAGAATTGAGGAAGTGCGGCCATAGGACTTAGTCTGCTGTGTTCTCGGGGCCTCGGTTTTCTCATCCATAAAGTGGGTGTTTTCCTCAGAAGGAGAATTTAGGACTTGGTGAAAGTAGACTACTGTGGTCAATAGGACGGCTCCCTAGATGAGAGTCATATGCAGACAATGAAAGGACAGAGGCTCTCGTGTGAAATTGAGGGTCTTGTCAGCACATTATGGGGTCCAGAGAAGCCCTTCTCAGAGCAGGGCCCATCCTGGCAGACTGCAGCCACAAGGAGCAGGCGCCTCTCTGTCCTGAGAGAGTGGGCGAGGGTCCTGCTTAGTGGCCTGCCCGCCGGAGGGTCTGCAAACCGCGAGAGTCTGACACCTTCAGAAAGGAGCACACGCCACAGTCAGCTCCCCAGAGACTCTTGCAAAGGAGAATTGCTCCCAGCACAGGTCAGGGCTGACACTGAAATCGCCGTGGTGTGAGACCCAGGCTGGGTGGGACAGCGGGACTTGGGAACATGGACTTGGGAGTCGGACAGACCAGCTTTGGCCTCTAGTCATCTGGAGTCCAGCTCTTAACCTGCTGGGCACGTGCAGTTCACACATCTGTGTATCCATCTCTCTATGCATTCTTTCATCAAACACTGACTGCACGCCCAGAGGGGCCGGGTTCTGTGCTAAATGCTGGGGCCCCTTTGCTCGAAGTCTCTGAGTCTGAGTAGTGCCAAGTGCTGAAAGCAGTGGCATCGCCCAGTGGGTTGGAGCATGGGAATCTCTAGGCACAAGCGTGGCGGCAAGCCGAGGGACACCCTTCTGTCCAAGAAGAGAAAAGCTGCCGTCACGAGGGCTAGATGGGCACGTTCGCCATTTTCTCATCAGCTCGAATGTCTGCCTCCTTGTTACTTTTGCAAACACCTGGATTTTGAAAGAGGCCTCAATGGGCTGGGGTTCAGCTAGAAGATGCCTCACCCCTTTGGGGCCCTTAGGGAAAACGCAGATGGATTTGGGGTTGTTCTAGTGACCGAGAAACATACTGGTGACTAGAATGTAGAAGGCAGGCGCTGGGGACATGGCCCGGGACAGCCCTCCTTGGTGAAGAACTTGGCTCGGCCAGACATGTTGGACGGTACAGCTCTGCCGAGGGGAAATGCCAAGGGTTTGGTTTGAGGAAGTAGGGAGACTGGAGACCCTGGCAGATAGGAATGGCTGAAAAAGCCTCCAGCAGGCTGAGAGATGGAGAGGGGGGCTGTAAGAGGCGAGGGACCAGGATGAAGCCACAGTCTGATGTGGCTCTGTGGTGCGGTGGACTGGAGCCCAGCCCAACCCTCTGTCCTCACGAGGGTCCCCGGGCCCCAGACTCAAGCACTATCAGCTCACCCTCCGCCAGCCACTATCCTCCCAGTGAGACTCAGGATAGGGAGCTGGGTTCCCCAGGGGGCAGGGGTGGAAGGACCTCCTCCTTGGTTTCACATCAGTCCGCATGGGATCCAAACTTCCTCCCCTATATCCAACTCACGATACGCTTTAGGCCTGCGAGTCTGCCTCTCTGAGCCTCGGTTTCCCAGTTGTGAACTAGGATGATCCTCCTGGTCAGTGCATTCCGGCCCCCAGGGCTGCCTTGAGAATTCAGTGAATTCCTGCGTGCCTCATGTTGGCCACAGCACTTGTCACCTGCAGGCTTGTGGCAAGGATGGGTACCCCGGCCCCACAGTCAGCATCTCTGCACGTGGGCTTCTGGAGGGGGTTTTAGATGTTGCCGGCAGAGCAGCAGAAATTCACATCTTTACGGGTATGCGCGGCGTATGTGTTCGAGTAGGTGGACCCATCTGTTTGGAACCTTGCAGATACAAATTCCTGGAGCTCATGGCTGCTCTGTAGAGTCCAGACGCTCCCTGGTGCACCCAAGGCCAGTGGATCTGCCTGCAGCCCGGGGAGGTCCCCGGTGGGATGACGGGGCCGAGAATGGGGCTCTGTCCAGGTCGCCAGCTGCAGGGATAATGGCCACTCGTTCCTCACCTTGGATTTTAATCCCCAGGTCAGCTGGTCGGCCTGTTGAGGGAGCAGATACTTGTTTATGTGACGGCAGGAGTAGGGCAGGGCGAGCCTCCTGGCACCCTGGTCTGCCTCGCCCCAGGTGCCCTGCTCATGGTCCTCCAGGCAGGCCATGAGCCTGAACTGGTCCCCCAGGCCTCGCTCGGCCCTAGTTCACCACCCTGCCTCGGAATCCCTTTGAGAACCCCCTCCCACCCCACCCCAGGGAGCCACCCTCCAGGGTGTGGCTGTGTGAGACCAGGGTTCGGGTCAGACGCTGCGTGCAGGCCGCCGTTAGGACCAGGCCTGCCTGACGCAGACCTGTGTGCTGGGGACCCGGCTTCTGAGAGGCTCGTGTGGCCCCAGTGTCTGGCTGGGGTGTCTTCCCAAGTACCTTGTCCAGGGGGCAGCGCAGAGCCCCGGTTTTGTAGCACCTGTCAATCTGGGTCGCAGATCTGCCGAAGTGCACTGTCTCCTGCCAGGTCAGGGCGGTCACCCCACATCCTCAGAGCCACCCCACCCTCATTTCCTGCACCCCCTGCCTCACCGGCCCAGCCTGACCGTGGTGTTACCCACCCACCACCTTCCCACGCCCGCGAAAGGAAGTCCTCGGTCACGTAGGCACTGAACCCCTCGTGGAGTGGCGCGGGGCTGGAGGCCTGGGTCTCCTGCTCAGAGGGCCTCATTCAAGTGCAGCTCCTCCCTCGTCAGCTCCATGATCTTCCGCAGGTGTCCTGGCCTCTCTGGGCCTGTCCCGCCTCTGTAAATGGGTTAGGGGAGTCACGGTGTGCTGTTTGGCCCCCAGGGCACATCAGAGGCCACGAGGATGTCGAAGGGCCCCTGGTCCACTCTCGCCTTCCTCCCTGAGCCTGGGGAGGCCTGGCTGTCCTGTGCTTCCCGGGGCTGGGCTCGCTCCTCCCAGCCCGGCCGGCAGCTCTCCCTGCACCCCTCAGGCCGGCCCTGTTCTCAGGTGCTCGTGACAGGCGCTCTGCTGACCACGGGGGTCCCACCCCCATCCTGTGGGCCTGGCTAGTCCCCGGGCTCCGTGCACCCGGCCTCGGCCCAACACTGCCACTGGACCCTCCAGACTGGTCACACTGGGCGTTTGGGGCAGGTCCAGGAGCAGCCACAGACTCGGAGATGAGCAGGGCCGCGGCCAGGAAGGAAGTCTGTCTGCCCTCCCCCTTGTCCTTCGCCCCTGTCCTCCTCCTGGTCCCGCCTGAGCTGCCATGCTGGGCTGGGCACCCGCTTCCACCCAGACCCCAGCCCAGCCCAGCCGCCCACTGGGCGCCAGGTGATGCATGCTGCTCACCGAGCAGTGGTGTGGACGTCCCCTTCCGTTCAGAAGCGAGCCCGGGCCAGGCAGGTCCTACCGGGAGCCCGGCAGGCACCCACACTCCCCCGTCTGACCGCGGCTCTGGGCCTCTGACACCCACTCTGGTCTGTGGTGGTTGTTCAGCCGCCCGGTCGTGTCCGACTCTTCGTGACCCCATGGACTGCAGCATGCCCAGCCTCCCTATCCTATCTCTTGGAGCTTGCCCAAGTCCGTGTCCACTCTGATTATGGAGGATTTAAACATTGCTTAGAGTTTTCTGTAATTAGCAGCATTTCCACACTGAGTGTTTTTTATTATCTTAAAGCACAAGAAAAACTAGTATGTGCCCCTTTTTCAGAACGGGAATGGGCCTGCCTCTGCAGATGCGAACAGTGGGCCAGAGCACAGGCTTGGGAGCCAGGCTTCCGGGTGGCCGTGTGACCTGGGGCCTGTGCTCACCAAGACTCAGTCTCTGGCTGTAGAATCGGGAGCTCACCGGGTACCCTGGAGGAAGGCAGGTCCGATCCACACACGTGCCTGGAACAGCCTCTGGCTTGTGACGGGCACTGTCTACAGCGTTTGCACCAGTTATTCTTAAATTTCTCTGGAAACCATGAGTGCGTCAGTGACTGGTGGGGGTTGGGGGAGGGGTTCAGAGGGAGACGAGGCACCTACCAAAATCGGCGACGGCAGGTCTGAGGTCAGAGGGGTTTCCATGTCCTGACAGGGGCTCCCTGAGCCCAGCCCCGCCGCCCCGGGCAGCAGATACCTAGCCTCGGGCACTGCAGTCTAAGGACCTGGCTGGGTATCCTTGCTCCCAGCCTCCCAGCCACCTGAACTTGGCCAGGCCGGCAGGCATCCCGGGCCCCACTTCCTCACCTGGGGGGCAGGTATGATCCTCCCGTCCTCAGGAGCCTGTCCTGGGGACTCAGAGCTCAGCTGGGCCCACTCCGAGGACTTATCTCAGGCCCACAGGCCTTTCTGGGAATCCTTTCCTGTGCGTCCGGGGCTCGCGTTTTTCCTCGGCACACTCCAGGGTGTGCGCTGGACTCCAAAGGCTACCGCGTTATCGCCGCTTTATGTGGAGGAAGCGGGGCTGGGAGCACTTCCGACCCGGGGGTTATCTAAACTGCTGGGTGAAAAGATCTTCCTCCTTTTTTGGGAATGAAGTACAGGCAGACACATGGCATGTAGACAGATACTGTATGCTGGAAGTGCAGTCAGGGGAAAGTGCTGAGAAAGCTCCTTGGGGCGGGGAACAGGAAGGCCCAACTCCGGGAAAGATTGAGAAACTGAATTCTGGAAATTCCCAGGGGTAGAGTCTGCGCTATCCCTGCTAGAGGCCTAGGTTCAACTCCTGGCTGGGGAAGTAAGATCCCGCAAACTGCAGGGTGCAGCCAAAAAAAAAACACCCCAAAACAGAAAACCATCAAATTCTATACACAACGGAGTCCTTGGGCCATAGGAGCAAGAATTAGGTCTGGGCTCTGGGGCAGCCTCTGCCTAGGCCAGGCTCTCACAGAGACCCGGGGGCCTAGAAACAACAAAAGTGCATTTTCTCTCATTTCCAGGGGGCTGGCACTCTGGAATCTCTGTGTGGCTACTGTTGGTTTTGTCTGAGGCCTCTCTGCTCGGCTGGGAGGTGGTCACCCCTCTTTGTGGGCCTGTGTCCCGACCTCTGCTTATGGGGACACTGGTCGGATTGAATTAGGACCCGCCCCAGTGAGCTCACTTTTACCTTGATCACGTCTTTGAAGGCCCCACCTCCGTAAAGCTACCATCTGGGGTCTCGGCGTTAGGCCTTCAACGTGTGAATCTGCAGGGGCACGTTTCAGCCCACAGCTGAATGGTGGTCTGGGAGCTGGCTGCAGCAGCTGGGAGGTGGAGTCCGGGAGCTGGGTGGCTGGCCTGTTCGGTGGCTGCAGTCAAGTCTCTGGACAGGCTTGACAGGCTCCGCCACCACGTTGCAGATAACAGGTGCTTGTCCCTCGGGGTCCCTGGGAGCCAAGGTGACCGAGAAGAGTCGGGGCCGTGTGGTCCCTGCCTGACTCTCACCCTGTCTCTGACCCTCTGTGATGAGGCACCGTTAACCTCCCCGGGTCCAGAGCATACCTGACCGTCACCCCTTCTTTCCAGGTCGGACTATGATGACTGGAGACCATCTCTGGCCAGCCTGCTTCAACCCATTCCATTCCCCAAAGAGTAAGTCCCCCCCACATCCCTGGAAACCTTTGGCCTAAGAGAACAACCTCCATCGTCCACCCTGGCCTTAGCAGGGGACTGGTCAGGTCGTGGGACGCACCTGGGGACACCACAGTTGACAGGGAGGTGGAAGTGTTGGTCCTCGGCCATGGGGCCCCTGGGAATGTTCACCTCCCCACCCTGAGAAATGGGGGCACCACCTCATGGCATGGTTAGATGGCTTTGCTGGGCCACGAATATAAAGCTCTCTGCACTGGCCTTCAGGCGGTCAAGTTAGCAGATGCTTAGGGAGCATCAGATGGAGTTGGGCGCCTGCCCCTCCTGTCTCCAAGGACCAGAGTGAAGATAACGCAGGTGGGACCACTCCGTCTGGGGTACAGCCAGACGCTGAGCCTTCCCTTGTTATCCCCATGACGGTGATCTCGCTCCACAGTGAGCTGAGCCAGGAATGGACCCTTCGGTCTCTCTGGACAGTGCTCATCCCAGTATCAAATTTATCTTGGGGAAAAGAGGGAGAAAGCTGTCTGGTGGATAATGGCCCGAGGGGAAGGCTCTGTCTCCATCACCAGGCCCTGAAATGCCTGCAGGCCTCTGTTTTGATAGATGTGAAGCAGCGGGCCCCAGGAGGCCACCACGAGCTCTCTGCGGAGCCGATTAACGAGCCCGTGTTTATGAAATGCGGCCCTCCAAGGGGACATTACCCTCTGTAATTGCCCCATTTGCTGGCCTGGCTGGTCCCTGGAGCCCGCAGGATGTGAGACCAGAGAAATCCGACTCCCGAGGGCAGTGGCGTCATTGGCTGCAGCCCTGGCCCCACGGCCCGGGGGACGCACCTGACAGTGAGCCATGATGCAACGCTGTCCCGGGAACGGTCCCCGACCGCCGCTCTGATGCGAGCCGGTAATTAGTGCGGCCGTGCCTTAATGGTGGAGCGATTAACAGACACACCTGGGTCCCTGGTGCCCACGTGCAGACACACGCACGTGCACCCTGCTAAGCACCGCTCCTCTTCACCGGGGTGGGCCCCAGGGGCTCAGCCTGTTCCCGTTCTGACCCACGTGCTGTCGAGTCGGGACACAATGTCCGTGTTGCCCGCTCAACTTCCTGTTCGCTCCTGAAACCAGGCCTGCCGTCCCCAGAGGCAGGCCTGTGGGTCACTGTGCTGTCGTCGCGAGCGCCCCACTCACTGCAGTCTTCCCCTTGTTTGTATTCCAGAGCTCTCGCGCACGAGAAGTTCACCAAGTGAGTATTTGGGCAACACCCATTACCCCCTTCCGGGACACGTCCCCTGTCCTGCGGGCGTCCCCTAGCGACCAGCCACCCTTTTGGCCGGTCCTCCGCACTTGCGTCCGGGGAGGTGAGGATGGCGCCCCTAGAAGTTCTCCCGAGACCCGTGTCCATCCAGGTCCGTCTGGGCGTCTCTTGATCCTGCCAGCTCAGCCAGCACCCCGCCCCATCCTCAGCGCCCCCATGCTGGTCCACCCTAGCCAGGACCCCAGGCACGACTGTCCCTACGCCGTCTCTTTCAGGGAACTGAAGTACGTGATTCAGAGGTTCGCCGAAGACCCTCGACAAGAGGTGAGGCCGCCCCGTCCCTGGCGGGCACACCGTCCTGCAGCCGGGCGCCTCCCTGGCCCCCTCGGGCATCCTGACAGTTCACATGGGCCCCCTGCCTTCGCTCAGACACAGCCCCCATCCCGCGTGTCCGAGCCCAGCCCGTGATGCAAGCATTCTCCTATAAACGCGGGCTCACCAGAGGTGCTTCCCATCAGTGGTTTCTCCTTGGAGCACAGACAGGCCTTGCTTTAGGGCCAGGCCGGCACCAGGGCTCCTAAGCACATCTGAGGTCGCGGCACATCCTCTCTGCTGGTCTGAGGGTCAGCACGCCGGGACAACACTGTGCTGGGATCTTCCCGGGCACAGTGGCTGAGGGTCGCCCCGAGGGGCCGCTCCCTGCCTCCAGCAGCTGGCCTTCAAGGGCAGCGAAGCCTTGCAGCCCAGAGCCCCTGCGTGTGAACGGGGACTCGGAGCAGGCTGGGCGCCCACCCCAGCCATGCTCCCATCACGTCAGTGTAAGGGCAACTGCCGGCCTTCGTGAGGGGCTCACCCCATGTCGGGCACACACGTGTGCTCATTTAATCCTCATAGCAGCCCTAAGAGTAGGTGTTATCATTACCCCCATTTTGCACCAGAATCACCCTCCTTTCAGAGTTGAGAAAACCAAGGGTACCTGCCCAGGGTCACAGGATGGGTGCCCTGGCTGGGACGGGAGCTGCACCCTGGGAGTTGGGCTCCAGAGCCTATGTAGGACCCAGCCCTGCGGCGCACACACTGGGTGAGGGGGGGAGGGGCTGCAGGGGCCGCCCCGGGGAGCTCAGGCCCCTTCTCCGCACATGGAGTCTGGGACATGAGGGGGACCTGGGCATCCCCAGCAGAGCCAGAGGACGAGGAAGGCAGAGGAGGCGGGGGTTATTCTCAGTGGGGCCAAGGCCACGCTGCAAAGCCTTGTTCTGGAAGGATCCGGAAGGATCTAGTTCTAAAGCAGCATGATCCCACCCTGACTCCAAAAGTGGTACTCAGGCACAAGCAGCAGACAGAGCTTCTGAGCGTCCGGGTCCCAGGGATGGCCTCCGCCGCTCTTAAACCTGAGCTGTTCCCTGCTGGAGGCAGTCTGAGTCCTCCCGGAAAGGCAGGCTTTATTTCAAACTGACTTTGATGTTGATGAATGAAAGTGGTGCCAGCTGCTTCCCAGAGCGTAGCCGCGGCCCGAGTGCCGGGAGCGGCCTCTCCCAGCCGGGGTCGCCCCTCGAGGACATGGCCCGCAGCAGGCTCACCCCGCCTCGCCTCCCTCTCCCTCCGCCTCCCCGCCTCTCCTCCCCTCTCCCCATCCCTCCGCCCTCCTCCCCCCTTCTCCATCCCAGATGGAGCCAGTGGCGGTTTTCTTATAAATCATTTGCTGGGTCTGCTGCAGAGAGTCCCGTACTCTGGATCTCTCGCTTCTTTGAAGCAGCTCAGTTGACGTTCGGAGGGGAAATCGGAGCCTGGCCGCCCCTGCATGCTGTTTACTTGTGCGGGGGTTGTGATCAGGGGACTGTCTGTGAGTAAGTGGCTCTTGGCAGCAGGTCGGCCTTCACTCCTGAAGGAAGTGATGGGGCTCTCGCCTCCCTCTCTGCTGAGGAGGAGGAGGAGGAATACAGGCCTTTGTCTGTCTGTCTCTGCAGCTACAGCGGGGCCAGGGTGGGTGTGGGGTTCCTCCCACACACGCACACGTGTTTGCACACACGCACGCGCCCACAGGCGGACACACGGCACTCTGGGAAGGGGGCTGACAACCACAGAGAGAGCTGGGGGCATGGAGATTGCCCGCGCTCTGCCCAGACCGTTTTTCCTAAAAGAGGGCGTCAGGGTCCCAGAGAGAGAGAGGGGTCAGTGGGGCAGCGCCCACACCAGGGGACGGCGCCCGTGAGGGTGGAGCAGGGGAGAGGCCGATCCCCAGGGTTGGAGAGACAGGTGCCCCAAAAGTGAGGGTGAGGGATGCAGGGAGCGGACACCCCAGTAGTGAGGGGGCGGGGCGGAGGCTCAGAAAGAGCAGAGTGCGAGAGCGGGGACTCGGAGCCACGGGGGGTGTCAGAGGCCCCGGCAGACAGAGGGAGGAGCAGCGTCCCCGTCAGAGGCACAGGAGAACGCTGTGAAGGTCCCTTCACCTCTGCCCCGACTTGGCCCCAGACTGGCTTCATTCTGGGCGACTGGACTAGCCAGGGCGTGGCTGTCCATCTCCAGGAGCTGGTGGCAAATGGCTGGAGGTCCCCCGTGTGCGGTTATCAGTCTTTCCCTAAAGGCCTTCCCTGGATTAGGAGAAGGCTGGGCGTGTCTGGGCTAAAGCAGGTTGCACAGATTCCTGGAGCATGAGCGTGGGGGCTCAGCCAGGCCTTGGGAGCTGGTGCGCGTGGGTCCTGGGCCTCCGTCATCACGGGCGCGCGGGACTGACCGAGTGCTCTCCTCTGCCGCAGGTCCACTCGTGCCTGCTGAGCGTGCGAGCCGGCAAGGACGGCTGGTTTCAGCTCTACAGCCCCGGAGGGGTGGCCTGTGATGACGATGGGGAGCTGTTTGCCAGCATGGTACGTGGGCCGGGGGGGCACTGGAGCTCTGTGTGGGCGCTGGGTTCACCCCTTCTGAGCAGTGAGAGCTGCCCTGAAACTTCCAGGCCACAAGGATGCTAGTGATGAAGGCGGTGATGGTGACACCAGCCCCGAGTGTCACCTTCCCGTGTCTCACCCGAGTGGGCACTGAGCCAGAGGCCCCCCATTTTACAGATGAGGCGCTACCTGCTCAAGCTACTGGGTTCACTCTGTGCCCCAGTGCCGTGTAGGTTCAGGGGACCGAGCGCTGACTGGTACAGGGGCCCCAGAAGTCGTTGCAGGTCCACCCACTCGTCTGATCCTTGCACCGAGATGTCAGGGTCGGGATGAGCAGCCCACCTTGGAGATGAGGGCTCTAGAGGTCACCAAACCCACAAGCACACCCTTTTGGTGGCTTCCGGTCCTTTCCCCGCGCACTGAGGCCAGCGCCTCACCTGACCACGCACCATCTTTCTTCGTCTCCACGGCAACCCGTTCCCTTAACTACTTCTGTGTTGACAACAAGCACAGAGGGGAGCAGTGGCGTGCCCGAGGTCACACGGGCCTCCCTGCGCTGGGCCCACGCTGTCCGGAGCCGCCCTCCTTCCAGCGGCACAGGGAGCACAGGCGCCCCTTACCCAGGGCAGACGCCCCTCCAGGCAGCCGGCGCTCTCACAGAGCCCGCTTCCTGACACAGCTCTGCTCCACAATCACGCTTGTCCCGGAGCGTGAGAAGGCCAAGCCTCGGCCAGCCATGGCCAGGGTCGCAGCCCTGCCCCGCGCTAGCCTGATGACCTTGGACCAGTATCTTTCCTCTCTGGGCTTCAGTGTCCTCATCTGTGAAGTGGGGATCATAGTCCTGGCATCTTGGGATTACCTTGGTGATTGTGATACTAGATGCGTGGCGCCTGGCGCTCTGTCAGCGCACGCCAGTGATGGCTGTGGTTCCTCTCATCTCTGCTGGGCAGCTGGTTCAGCGAGGTGAGCAGCTTGTAATGTCTTCCGCCGTGAACTTAGGGTGGTGTTTGCGCTGTGATGACAGACCCCAGCGCTGCCTCTGGATCCTTGCTTGGAAAGGGGCTTATTTTTAGGTTCCTTTTCTTAGCGCTCACTCACCATAGCTTGCTCACCTGCTGCCTGAAGGCTCCCTTCAGAGTGCCCTGTGCATCCTGGAAATGCCAGCCTTGCCTGCCAGCACCACCTCTCTCTCACTTCTCCTGGGCTCCTCTGATGTCACAGCGTCACCATGGCAACGTTTCATGGTGCTCCCCCCGCCAATGCAGTGACTGTGAACGAGAGAAGAGGGAGCTGGCAGCTCCCCAGCCTGAGAGATCGCATTTGTGAGCCAGAATTGTTAATGATGGAGCAGAAAAGGGTCTATGTGGGGAAGGAAGCAGGCGGCCCCTGGATGGCTTTGCAGCGTTGCCATGGAGACACGTGGCTCGGACGCCGTCCCCTGGATGAGGCTGCCGCTTCCAGCCGTGGCCGGGCGTCCGCTCCACTGTGGAGTCAGGAAGCACAAGCCAGGTGGCTGGGGACCCTGACCCTGAGCCCCACCCGCGGGTGCGTTGGGAAGCAGCACAGACCCCTGTGCCGAGCGCAAGTGGTTTACGGCATCATGGTGCTTCCAGGGTGCAGCGAGGGGCGTCAGCCACACGCACACATATATCCACTCTTTCTAAGATTCGTTGCCCAACTAGGTCATTACGGAGTCCTGAGTATACAGTTCCCTGTACTATATAGCAGGTCCTCACTCGTTAGCTGTTTCATATACAGTAGTGTCAATCCCAATATCCCAGTTTGTCCCCCGCCCCGACCCTTTCCTGCCAGTAACTGTTTGTTTTCTACATCGGTGACTCCTGTTTTGTATGTAAGTTCACTTGTACCCCTCCTTCTTATTAGATTCCACATATACGAAATATCACAGGATGTTTGTCTTTCTGCACATGACTGACTTCACTCAGTATGACAATCTCCAGGTCCATCCAAGAAACACAGTTTTCTTAACGGCTGTCCTGCACGTAACCCAGATGGAGCAGAATTGACCAGTTCCGGGATTTCTGGGGCAGGCGCCTTCGGGGCCTCGGGGGCACTGGGGGTGGGGAGACAGGGCTCCACGACGTCCCCGGCCCCGCGCATGTGGCCGGGCCTTGTGCACCCTGAGATCGGGCCTCCAGAAGTTCCTGCCAGGCGTGACCCTGCTGAGAACCCAGGGCGCCAGATGTCAGCACAGCCCCGAGGGCACCAGGAGAGGGGGCTCCTGTGTGTGTGTGTGCAGGGCGCGGGTAAAACGCACATACCGTGAATCTTGCCACCTTAACCGCTTTTTTCTGTTTTACTGAAGTATGGCTGACTCACAGTGCTGTGTTCATTTCCGCCCGCCTGAACCCTTTCTACGTGTCCAGTCTGTTAGCAACAAGTGCCCTGACACCGTCCTGCAGTCATCACAGACCTTCATCTTCCCGAACTGAAACTGACCCCTGTCTACACTCACTCACTCCCCACTGGCCCCCGCCTGGCCCCCCGCCCGCCCCCTTCTGTGTCTGCGGTCTGACTCTGCATCCCTCCCAGGACTGGACCCTGCAGGGTGTGTCCTAGGACTGGCTGACCCCAGGCAGCGGTGACCACAGGGTTCATCCCTGTGGGAGCCAGTGTCAAAGGGGGTCCTCTGAACTCCCGGAGAGGGTCTGGTGATGGTTTCAGATCTGCTGTCCAGACAGGGTGTGGGGTGCGTCTGGTCAGTATCTTCCAGCCTCACAGTCTTTGGGCCACAGGCAGGCGCCCCGGGGCACAGCTGTGGCGGTCGCGCCCCTCACCTGGCCCGTGTCTCCTCACAGGTGCACATCCTCATGGGCTCCTGTTACAAGACCAAAAAATTCCTGCTCTCCCTGGCGGAGAACAAGCTGGGTCCGTGCATGCTCCTGGCGCTAAGGGGGAACCAGACCATGGTGGAGGTGAGGAGCCGGCCCCACGCCCTGGCCAGGCAGCCGACTCTCCCAGGCCTTCATCCTTGCTGACGCAGCACCTTCCAGGAGCTTCCAGGCGCCCAGAGCTGCTGCAGGAGCTGAGCCATGGCAGCAGATGAGGCAGGCCTCCCGAGCCTGGCGGGGCAGCAGGCCCTCCTCAGACTGTCTTATTCATTTCACGTTCATTTAACTCGTGGTCGTCTGTCGGTCCCAGGGATTGAGCAGGTTTCTCTTCTGTCTGCCTTTTGCTGCAGAACAGACCGCCTCCAAGCGGGGGCTCCAGTGATGCTCATCTGTTTTGCTCCTGGGTCTTCAGATGGTTGGGCTCCGCTGACCGCTTCTCACTGTGGTCTGTCATGGGGTGGGGCGGATGGGGGCGGGCGGGCTGGGTCTTCCTGAGGCTGCCTCCTCTGCATGTCCAGCGCCGTCCTGAGGGGACTCAGCCCACAGAGACGGAGCAGCTGGGGCTCCCAGGCCACTGTCTGCACTGCAGCCCTGGCCTAACCTGTCCACTTGCCAGCCCCGGGCACTCGGTCACCTCTCTGTTCTCCAGAGCCACTGCAGAGAGACCAGGCAGAAGCCACGTCTCTCCTCCGGCTTCTGCCTCAGGGTCAGGCAGAGTCACTTTCTAGCCACCAGAAGGGGGTCAGCAAGGCTACACCCAGGGGCAGGGACAGGAGTTAGACTTCACCTCTTGGCGGGGAGGGCGTTAAGCAATTGGAAAGCCGAGGGGAGAGAGGGTGGTCTGTCTCTCAGGCTCCCCCAGCCCCCAGGCCCGGCCACATTATGCTGTGCGCTGTTGGCCAGGTGCTGCCAGGCGTGCCTATGACACGGAGGGGGCGCCGGGGCAGGCGATCCCCCAGCATCGTGCAGAGGGCGGGGGGAGGACAGGACTTCCGATCGCAGGGCGCCCCGACACCGGCCTTCCACAGGCGCGTGGGGCTCTCGGGACAGGCTGAGGGTTGGGCCCCCCCAGCCTTTGCGGAGCAGCCCTGCCCGGGGTCCCAGCCGGTGGTGACGCTCGTCCCGGTCTCGGCAGATCCTGTGCTTGATGCTGGAGTACAACATCATCGACAACAATGACACGCAGCTGCAGATCATCTCGACCCTGGAGAGCACGGGCGTGGGGAAGCGCATGTATGAGCAGCTGTGCGACCGGCAGCGGGAGCTGAAGGAGCTGGTGAGAGCGTGCGGCTCTGCCCCGGGACCCCCGCCCTGCCCCGCCCCATGGGCCTCTGCCTGCCCGACTCCTCTAATGTCCCAGAACCCCAGAGGCTGGCTGGGCTGACCGCCCCCTCTTCCTTCAGGGGCCTTCACGGTCTCAGTTCCCTGCTCTCCTGCTGGTGTTTCTTGAAATCACCTCTCTGATAAACCACCTGCACTTGGGCCTGGCCTCGGGGTCTGCCCTGAGACCAAGACCATCATGTTGTCTGCCGCTGCTGCCCTGAGAGGTGTTAGCTGGAGGTGGGGGTCCAGGGGGGACGCTCAGGGAAAAGTGGGTCCTAACCAGCTGGCTTCTCTTTGCAGCAAAGGAAAGGCGGGCCCACCAGGCTAACACTGCCCTCCAAGTCCACAGTGAGTTGGTTTCCTCCTGGGGGCTGGGTAGAGGGAAGAAGGTGGGCTAGTCCTCCCTGGGAGGGAGCAGCAGACAGCCTCTCTTGGAAGTGATGGGGAGAGGGGGACAGGGACTCAGCCGTACTTGACAAGCCAGCTTTTCTAGGCTAGAACTGTGTTGCAAGAAACCAAAGGTGATAAAAGATTATTGTTAACATGTTACAAGTTATTCATAATGATGACAATAATAGCTCACATACATTGTGCATTCGTGTGCCAGATTCTGTGCTAATAGTTCATTTTATCTTGACACTAAGCCTATCAGGTCAGTGCCTCTTTCCCCATTTTATAAGGTCTTCAGGGATCTTAGTTCTTTCCTCCTACTGGCCCCCTGTCCTTGGCACGTAGCTTCCACTTCACAGTCCAAAAGAGCTGCTGAAGCTCCAGCCATCTCATCTCCATTCAAGCCATGAGCAAGAGGCAGAGAACACCCCCCTTCCCTTTATGGACCTTCCTGGACGTTCCAAAGGACACATCTGCTTATATACCATTATCCGGGTTTAGTACATGGCCCCATCTAGCTAGGATGTTAGCCTTAATTCAGGGCAACCAGTTGGCAGCTAACACTCAAGGATTCTATCACAAAGATGAAAGGGACCCTCAGCGACCTCAGAATCTAACGCTCACATACTCGCTGATCCCCGCAGGCCTTAGTATTGAGGGGACCTCAGTGTTTGCAGGCAGGAAATGGGCCCAAGCCTGGGAAAGAAAGAGGGTCAGACACACACACACACGCACACTGTGGGAGGGACATGGCCTAGGAACCCCCAGTGGTGACTCAGGGTGTGACTCAGCGCTCCCAAGGCTTTCTCCAGCCAGATAGCTGCCACCCACAGAGACGTGGAGGCAGCCCAGCCCTCCTGGACAACCCACTGGGCCATGCTGTCCCCCCAGTTAGAGCTCTTCATGGGGAGGTGGTGGTGGGGAGGCCCCAGGCCTCCCCTGAGACCCCGCCTGCCCATTCACCCATCTGCAGGACGCTGACTTGGCTCGTTTGCTGAGCTCTGGCTCCTTCGGAAACCTGGAGAACCTCAGTTTGGCCTTCACCAACGTAACCAGTGCCTGCGCTGAGCACCTCATCAAACTGCCTTCTCTCAAGCAGCTAAACCTGTGGTCCACTCAGGTACGCATGGCCTGCCCGCTGTCCACTGCGCCCTCCTCCGTGCCCGCCCTGCACCCCTGCCCCAGGCCTGCCCTGCATCATCCTCCACGGCCAGCTTTCTGCCCAGCACCCGTGGGTCCAGCCGCTTGATCCCCACGCCCCTCTGCAGCCCAGCACCCGCCCCCCAGGATCCCAGGCCAGAGGAGGGCTAGGCCCCCGTGAAGCCCAGCAGCCTGTCGCAGTTGGAGCTGCCAAGGCCCAGAGCAGGGAAGGGACATGCCAGGCAGAGCCTGGGGGAGCTGACGCGGGTCTCAGGCCCCTGCCTGGGGAGTTGCAGGTGGCCTGTGGGTCTCCTCCGGGTGATGATGAATGCAGGGCACACGGCGCCCTCTGTCCTGCCCACACCAGTCTGACTCTTACGCACTTACTCACCAGCACGTGTGGTCTCCACGCCCCTGTGAGGTGCAGGCCAACCGACACCAGCTGCCCCCCGTCCTGCTCGGGGAAGGGCCGTCTCGGCTCCCACTCAGAGCTGCAAGTCGCTGGGTTCATAGCCTCCCTTGACAGATGGCAACACCGACTCTGGTGGGGGAGCAGGGCCCTTGTCGGGGCCACAGCCCCGGCAGACCCAGCCTGGTGTGAACCCAGGTCAGGGAAGTGGAGTCTCCGAAATGACTGAGGGCAGCCTGTGTCCAGCGGCATACAGGCCATGGGCCTCAGGCCTGGGCCAGGTCCTGTCCCCTTCCTCAGCTGCTGCCCCAGCCCTGGGTGCCCGGGGGAGGCCCAAGGCAGGCCCCAGACTGAGGGTGTCTCTCCCACAGTTCGGAGACGCCGGCCTGCGGCTCCTGTCGGAACACCTCACGATGCTTCAGGTGCTGAACCTGTGCGAGACGCCCGTCACCGACGCCGGCCTGCTGGCCCTCAGCTGTGAGTCCACACGCCCGTCCCCTCAGTCCTTTCTCCATTCCCACGGCACATGGGGCACCGCGTGCTCACCGAGTACCTCCTCTGGGCCAGGAGCAAAGCGGGGGGAATCTCCCTGCCCTCCTGGAGCTGATCTCGTTGAGGACAGAAACATGAGCGAGGCCCAGCCCACCCCCTCACATGGTCACAGCCCCGAGGGCTGTGGTCACAGCGGGGTCCCTTTGGGCTGGTCCGCAGTGGGCAGCAAGCTCTGGGGACACTGGGGTATAGGTGCCCCTGGCGGGGTCTCACTGAACTGATGACTGTCCGTTCCCATACAGCCATGAAGAGTCTCTGCAGCTTAAACATGAACAGCACCAAGCTCTCGGCGGACACCTACGAAGACCTGAAGGTAATCCCTTCCCCCACTCCTTCCTGCCTTTGCACATGCAAAGGTCCTGAGGCAGAGAAGGGTCAGCATGCACTGGCTCTGCAACAGGTGTGACTAGAGAACAAGAGAACAGATTGGGGCCAGACTGCGTCAGCCCTTACAGATCGCGGCAGGACCCTGGATTTTCATCTCAGTTCAGTAGAAAGCTTGCAGAGGCTCCGAGAAGGGCAGTGCATTATGCTAAAAGCTTGTTCTGGCTGTTAGGTGGCAAACAGGGTTTCTGAGGGAGAGTGCAAGCGGGGGTAGCGCCATAGAGCAGGTCTGTAGGACTGGAACTGTCACATGGGCGAGAGCTGGGACCGGCCTGCTGTGCTTGGCTGGCAACTTAAAACGGGAAAGACAGAGAACCTGAATGGTAGAAGGCAGACACGTTTGTTTGTTAAAAAAAAGCATGTCTCATCAGGGCTGGAGACTCCCAGGCCCAGCGCCCTGGGAAGGAAGGTCTGGGCCAGGAGACACAGTGCCGTGAGTGCACTGGCCCCTGGGCACCCTGGAAGCCCACCTCCAGCATGGCCCCTAGCCCCCCAGCTCAATCAGACCCACAGCCCAGGGCTCACTCACTGGCCAAGCCTCCAGATGGCCTTCAGAGCGCCCACTGTGTGCCAGGCCCATGCTGAGAATGGGGGCAAGAAGGTGCAGCCAGTTTACCCCTACCCAGGAGAGAGCTCAGACCCAGCGGACAGACATGCACAGCAAACTGAGGGAGGTCAGGGCTTGGGGGCCAGCAGGGAGGGGACCACCTGCTCAGTTCATTGGGCCAAAGGAGCCTACACAGAAAGGAGGAGTTAGAAGTCCTGGAAGCTGGGGAGACAGGATCTAAAGGCAGGAGACCAGGAGCCTCTCTGTACAGCAAAGACTTGCAAAATAAAAAAACGTCAACTGTTTATAAAAGAAGGCAGAGCAGGAGTACATCTGGGCGGCAGGGGTGGGGAGCAGGAAGCCACTCTGAGGAGCTGCAGGTGGGACTGTATAGTCCAGTGACACATCCCATAGGAGAGCGTGAGTGTGAAGGCTTTCTGCCGACCCCCAGGAACCTGCAACTTAGGGATCCTCCTTCATTCTCCTCGCCCAACTCTTGGCAGCCTTGAGGGCACATTATCATAGACAAGTGAGAACAGTCTGTGTGCTGAGCACGCAGCGTGGTCTCACACAGGGCGCTCTGGGTTTAGGCCCTCACCCCATCCTGTGAGCCACAACTGGACCTGGAGTCCCTCCACAGAGGAGGAATTCCGCTCTAGAGGCCCAGACTCTGCCCACGGGCACGTAGCCTGCAAGTGACAGCGGAGGGCGCACACCCCAGGCTTCCCATCCCCAGAGCTAGTGATTTGAAGCCCCTCTGGGCTGTGGACGTGGACTCCCCAGCAGCCACTTGCTATCCTGGGGCTGGCCACATCCCACCCGCTGGGTTCTCCCCAAGGTCCCCCAGTTCTGGGCTTTGGAGCCCCAGGCAGTGACAAAGTGGGGAGGGCTCAGTGGGAACGGTAGTCACTAGTACACGTGGAGCTCTGTGCCACCAGGTTCTGGAAGGGACCGGATCCTTCTTGTTCCCCCAGGCCAAGCTGCCCAACCTGAAGGAGGTGGACGTCCGCTACACGGAAGCCTGGTGAAGCTCCCGTCGGCAGGAAGCAGTTTGCAACCGCAACTCACAACTCCTGACTAATAGCCGTAGAGCAGCGGGTCTCGGGGTCCCACCCCCGTCCTGGCTGTGAGATAGATGGGGGAGTCTTTCTGGGGGCAGAGGGCGGAGGGGGGAGGGGTGGGGAGGGGGGGTCCGTAAGCACGCCCAGCCCCCGCCTGATTCTTGTAGCTTCATAATCGGAAACCTTGACCTGATCTAAAACGGACTTCGTAGCAACCGGAGAGTGGCAGTGGGTGGGGGAGAGGGTGGGGGTGGGGGCTTGGGGAAGGGGGACCCTTTGTGGATTTTCTTTGCCTTTGTGTTCAATGCTGTGTGGGAACAGTCAAGTCCGACCCCACATCACGCGACCCCACTGGGCCCAGAGGCCGAGGAAGGATGCTGTCCTCCTCCGAGGCCCGCCGAGAACTCGCCCCACCATCGCCATCAGACAAGACCCAGTCCTGTCACCCCACCCGTCCTGTGTTCTCGCCATTGCTATGCAAAGTGATTCTTGTTGTACATAAGATTTAAATAACGCGCCTATTTAAGAAATGTTGACAAATTGCAGGTCTGGGACCTGCCTGTTATTTATGAAGTCTTTGACCTGCCCGCCCGCCCACCTGCCTGCCCGCCGGCCGCCCCTGGCGTGTAGTACTGTACAAACCAGTCAGCTGGTAGTGGTAGTATTCGTGTTATTTTTTTAAAGGAAACAAACAGACGGAAAAGAAAAAAAAAAAAGAACCTCCTTGGAAATTTAATTGCTTTTTTTGTAATGGATCCTGTCTGCTAATGCTCTCTTGTCCGTCCGTCTGTCCGTCCCCCTGCCCACCCCGCCACCGCCACCGCGCATTTCGATTCCAGAAGTCTCCAGTTTCCTCACAGGGTGGGGGTCAGACTGGGGGAGGAGAAGTGGGGCCCCCACATTGTCGTCTTGCTCCTCTAAGGCCCCACCTTCCTCTCGGCCCCCTTTTACGCATCTGGAGGGGTGGGGTGCTAACCTGTCCCCCTGTCCGTCCCGTAAGAGAGCTGCCCCCACCCCCTCCCCTTGAGCACTCCCGTCTCTGGTGGCCTCGTCCCGTCCCGACTGAGCCTCTGCCACCCGCGGCCTCCCCGCCGTCCTGTGCCTCCCGTGGTCCCTCATGCATGCCCGCCTCTCTGCATGGTCTCTTGGGAGAAGAGAGACGTCTCCTCCACCAGCCTGACTGCCCACCCCACCCCACGAACGTGACCACTGCAACGCAGACTCCCTCCTGCCCTTCTCTGCCCCCCCCCCGCCCCAAAGACATACCCACCTCCGTTTCTTTTATAAACAAGCCCTCACTGTACAGAACAGCCCTCATGGTTTACTTGGGGTCCCCTCTCCCCCCAAGCCCCGTCTTCTGTTGGTTTAGCACAAATACTCCCCTCTTTCAGCACCTCCAGACCTAACCCCCAGTCAATGTAATTGTTTTATATATATTTAATCTTATTCAATGGAAACCATGCTTTTGTCGTTTTATACTTTGCTAGGTAGACTTTATTAGCCCCCCCCCAACTATGCCCTCATTTTTTTAAAAAAGGAAAAAAAAAAAGAAATTGGGTTTTAGTCTTAATTCATTTTCTGTGCCAGGTTTGATTTCGTGCGTGCGTGTGAATGTGTTCTGTCTCGTGTTTTGTTTTTGTTGTTGTTTTCTGTTGTTTGGTTTTATTCGCTCCCCTCTGGTCCCATACTTTACAGCACTCTGGTGCAGGAAGAAGCAGAAGCAAAAAAATAAAAAATCTAAAAAGAAAAAAAAAAGAAGAAGAGCCGAGACATGCCACCTTTTCCCTTCGCACTGTTGCTTTTCCTGATGGTTAATACTACTGTCACGTAGCTGTGTTCAGAGATGTGAAAAACTTTCAGGCAAAAATAAACTGTAAGTGACTCATTGACATCTGGCCTTTCTGTGTGGCTTTGAGGGGGCCTGGTGCGGGGACAGGAAGGGCCAAGACCTAGGCCAAGAGTTGGGGAGCTCACAGCAGAGCCTCTACACCCTCTCTCAGTGTCCTGGGCTCCTCACCCTGCACACTTGGGAGCCAGATCTTTGTTGTGGGGCCACCCCGGGCATCAAAGCCAGGCCCCCAACCCCCACCCACTGGATTCCAGGAGCACCCACCCCCACCCCAGCAGATAGAACAACCAAAAATGTCTCCAGAGGGTGCCCAGTGTCCCTGGGGGTCAGTCATCCCCAGGAGAGAGCCCGGCTGTCCACCTGTGCCGCAGGACCCCCAGGGAAGCTCTAGTCCAGTGAGGTGCCTTGGAAAATGCAGGGTCTGGGGTGGGGCCCCAGACCCTGCATTTCTGAGGAGCTCTAGGCAACATAGATGCTTCCACCCACCCTCCTCTGCCCCCTAATCCCCCTACACCATCTTCCAAGCCCTGAGGACGCTCTGCCTCGCTGCACACCTACTCTCACTTCCCGAGACCGTTTCAGCTGACCTGCGCGACGCCCTCTGGCTGATCAGGGAAGGCAGGTGCCCTGCGGCAGGCGCAGGACAGCCCGGACTGGCAGGGCCGACGGGCACTTCGGGACCTCTGGTCCTCAGGCCAGATGGGCCGGGCGTCACGAAGGCCCGCTGCAGGCCGGGGTGCAGGGCCTCGAGGCACCGCAACCCGCCGCCTTCCCGCCCAACAGAGGCCCTGACTTAGCAGGTGCTCATCACCTGCCAGACGAAGCGGAGGACCCTGGCGGCGACAGACCTCAGCCCTCTGCCCTCCGCTGTCACCTCGGCTCCTCTGGCCCAGCGGAGAGTGCAGACTACCGGGCGGACGCAGGGCCAGGGGAGAGGGCGTTTCCTCCCCCGTGCTGTTCTGTCAGGAGCCGCCTCTTCCCTGAGATTTGATTCCAGCTCCCACAGAACAACCGCCACCTTCAGCCTAGGCCTGGCAGGATCTGCGGTAGTCCCAGCAGCCTCACTTGCCTCAACCCCGCCCACCCACGTGCCTCAGAGAGCTCTCGACCCCACCCATCCACATCCTCTCAGCTCTTGGCCCCGCCCACCCACGTGACTCACAGATCTTAGCCCCGCCCACTCCACATGCCTCACACCCCCTGAACTGGAAAGCCCTCTGCTTGCGGAAACTGAGTTACCCAGTGTCTTCCCCTTGCCCCGCTGACCTACACGTGGAAGCAGCCCCTGCTGCAAGTTCCTGGACCTCAGCATCCCTTGTCAGGTCGCTAACTGTAGCCATGCCCCACACCCCCACCCCCCACCCCCAGGAGTTAGCCCGTCCTCACACGCTTCACAGCCCACCAGAGTGGGCCTTCTGTTTCATGCCAAGACCCTGCTTTCCTCCACCAACACATAAGCAACCCCTGCAGCTGATGTGAGCGCCCCACTGAGAGCCCAGTGGAGCACTGGGCTCTTGACCTGGGGAGGGACATCGTCAGGAAATTTCAGGGAGAATCCTGAATTAGGGACAGGGAGAAACACTCCAAAGAGAGTGGCTGTTGGATTAGTGGGAGCTGAACTCTTGAGGTCCACAGGCCAGCTTGATGCCCTGCTCACACTGACTGCTCTAGAATGCGCTGTCTTCCAGTCATTTAGGGTGTGAATGGTACACCTTGGAGTCATGCCAAGTGGGAACCTGGTTGTTATTTGTGTCTGCCAGACTGCTCTAAAGTTAAGCTGTGCTAGAAGTTTCTCTGAAGGCCAGGAGGGAAGGGGATTAGAGAGCCTTGGAAAAGGGCTTGGTTTCGTTCATTCATTCATGCATTCAACCATTCTTTGTTGAACACCTGCTTCTAGGCGGTGCTAGCAGGTTCTAGACAACATGCTAGAAGAAGCAAGAAACATGGCTCTTGCCCTCCAGGGCCCCAGTGACCTGGAGCATGCTGGCGAGGAGTCATGTAGCGTTGATATTGTGTGGCAATGGCAACAACAGGAAGCTCTGGCAGGCACAGAAGGTGATAGCTAACCCAAGCTTTGGAAGTCAGGAGGGCTTCCTGGAGGAGGTGGTATTGTTGACAGTGAAGAATGAGAATATATGTCAAATCATCAGAGAGGAAGGGGAGTGTGCAAAGATGTGGCAACAGACTGGAGCCAGATCTGTGTTGGGAACTGCAGATGGAGAGTGTGGTGGGCACAGGGGTGAGGGGGGATTCCGGAGGAGTTGTTATTGTTGGGGCTGAATTGTGTCCCTTAAAAAAGAGATGTCGAGGAGGAAGGGGACAAAAAAAAAAGATATTGAAGTCCTAACCACCACCCCCAGTACCTAAGAGTGGGACCGTATTTGGAAACAAGGTCTTCACAGAATATTCAAGTTAAAATGACGTAATTAAGGTGGGCCCTAAGATCATGGCATCTGGTCTCATCACCTCATGGGAAATAGATGGGGAGACCGTGGAAACAGTGACAGACTTTATTTTTTTGGGCTCCAAAATCACTGCAGATGGTGACTGCAGCCATGAAATTAAAAGACGCTTACTCCTTGGAAGGAAAGTTATGACCAACCTAGATAGCATATTAAAAAGCGGAGACATTACTTTGCCAACAAAGGTCCATCTGGTCAAGGCTATGGTTTTTCCAGTGGTCATGTATGGATGTGAGAGTTGGACTGTGAAGAAAGCTGAGCACCGAAAAATTGATGCTTTTGAACTGTGGTGTTGGAGAAGACTCTTGAGAGTCCCTTGGACTGCAAGGAGATCCAGCCAGTCCATCCTAAAGGAGCTCAGTCCTAGATGTTCATTGGAAGGACTGATGCTGAAGCTGAAACTCCAGAACTTGGCCACCTCATGGGAAGAGTTGACTCATTGGAAAAGACCCTGATGCTGGGAGGGATTGGGGGCAGGAGGAGAAGGGGACGACAGAGGTTGAGATGGCTAGATGGCATCACCGACTTGATGGGCATGAGTTTGAGTAAACTCCGGGAGTTTGTGATGGACAGGGAGGCCTGGCATGCTGCGATTCATGGGGTCACAAAGAGTCGGACACGACTGAGCCACTGAACTGAACTGAACTGAATCCAACATGACTGGTGTCCCTGTAGAAAGGGGAAGTTTGGACCCAAAAGCAGACATGCACAGCAGGAAATCTACCGGACGAGATCAGCACACAGGGAGAAGGCCATGTGAGGATGAGGGCGGAGACGGGCCTGAAGCCTCTTCCACAGCAAAGATGGTCAATAAGCCCCCAGAGGCTGGGAAGAGAGGCCTGCAGCAGACCCTGCCTCACAGCCCCTGCCGACACCTTGAATTCGGTGTTCTGTGAGAGGACCGTGAGAGAATATGCCTCTGTTATTTTAAGTGCCCCCACCCCCAGTCCATGCTGCCTCTTCACACCAGCCCTAAGACAGAATACATCTGTTTTCCTGGGCCACCACACAGAGTACCCCAAACCCAGTGGTTGAAAATCCAGAGATACATTCTCTTGTTTCTGGAGACCAGAAGTCCAAGATCAAGATGTCAGAAGGGGGCCTTCCTTTCCTTCTCTTCCAGCTTCTGGAGCCCCCCACGCTCCTGGCTGGCCGTTGCATCATGTCCATCTCTGCCTCTGTCTCATGTGGCCCCCCCTCTTCTCCACCTCACCCCTCCCTCTGCCTTTCTCCTTCAGGGACATTTGACGTTGGATTTAGCGCCCACCTGGATAATCCAGGGCTTCCCTCATAGCTCAGACGGTAAAGAATCTGCCTGCAATGCAGGAGACCAGGGTTCGATTCCTGGATTGGGAGGATCCCCTGGAGTAAGAAATAGCAACCCACTCCAGTATTCTTGTCTGAGAAATCCCATGGACAGAGGAGCCTGGCAGGCTACAGTCCATAGGGCCACATCCTGGATAATCCAGGGTGATCTCACATCCAGAGCCTTAACACAATCACATGATCTGTAAAGAAGCTTTTTTTCCGTATAAGGTCCCAGTCACTGGTTCCAGGTGTAGGCACCTTCTGGGGCCATTATTCCACATGCTGCACATGGGGGCGAGACCAGCCATCATCTCCTTAGTCATATTTAGAAGCCTGGGATTTACCCAAGGGCTCTGAGAGACTGTTAGGACATTGCAATTATCTTACTTCATTTTCTGACAAAGCATGTATATAGCTCCTCCTATGTGCCAGGCACAGCAACAGAGTTTTGTAAATCTGAACTCATTCTTTCCTCCTGCCAAACCTTTGAGGCAGGTGATAACATGATCCCTCTTGACCACTGGGGAAGTGGGGGTCAGGAGATGCTGCATCCTTTAGTCAAGGTCATGCAGGGAGCAGGGGACCAAGGCAAACTTATGACCCAGGCATCATGGGAAGATCGATCTACTGTTGACTGGTAAATGGATGGGGCTGAAGCTGGAGCTTGGACCATATAGAGAAACAAATTCAAGAGAAGCTTAGGAGTAAAACTGCAGAACGTGGGGATTGGTATGGAGGGAGGGCCAGCAAGGAGTGAAGGAAGAAGTTCAATTTCCTTGCCTTGTTTCCTGAAGCTCTGTGAGCTCCAGAATTGCACCTCTGCCAGGCAGCAGCCCTCGTGGCAGGCGGGGCTGCTGTGTGAACACTCTGGCTCTAGGTCCTGGTGGGGGCAGAGAGCTCCAAGGCTCCTGTCCTTCCCTGGAGTCCTTCCCTGGGGTTCATCTCCAGCTGCCCCCAGGGTTCTCTTGCTGGTTAAGACTTCCTATCCTTCTCTCACTTTCCCATGGTCCCATTCCTGGTTCTGGGGTCACTTCCCACATAAGCTTATTTGGGCTGGAGGAAATCATTGTTTTAGAGCCGACTTCTGGGTAAGCCCCAAACTAAGACAGTGCCTGGCCCTGCCAGGGGACAGAGGGCCAGGATGGAGGGGAGCGCCTCCATGACAGACTGGGAAATCCCTCCCCAGGGGACCAGGTCACCCAGTATTCCTGCCTTGTCCTTGGTGACACAGGCACTGCTGAGCTTTGCCAGAAGTTGGTCCCCAGAACCAACTTGCACCCATTTCCAGAGGTGGGGGTGGCAGCTGACAGGAGCTCCTAGACACTGCTGGTGGAACTAGAAATCGGTTTGACTGCTTTGGGAAGTGTATCTAATCAATACTAAAGCTAAACATCTGTCAACATTGTGACCCCAGAGCTCTGCTCCTGGGGAGACGGCCAAGAGGGCTGAGCTCACATGTCCACCAGAGACACAAACAAGAATGTTTATAGCAGCGTATTCACAATAGCCCAGAGTGGAAACAGCCCCATGTCCACTTACAGGAGAATGAATAAACTAACTGTGGAACAGATACACAGTGGACGACGCAAATGCCTCCATCAGCGGGAGGAAAAATAAATACACCATGACACATCCATATGCTGGGGTTCTGCAGGAAAAATGACCCAACAGATACACACAATCGGGTAAATGCATTGGACAGGCATTATGTTGTGTGAAAGGAGGCAGACACAAACGAGGGTTTGCCGTGTGATTACATTTATATAAAGTTAAAAAAAAAAAAGTTCACCCACAGCCACAGATCATCAGTAATTACAGAGGTCACAGAAATGGTATCTCTGCAAGGCTGGGGATCATTGTTGATCAGGAAGACAGGAGGGAATCTTCTGGGGGTGATGAAAACACACTGCATCTTGATACACAAATATTTATACACATGGAGTTCTACACTTAAAAGACTTGTGTTGTTTACTGCATATGTTCACATCAGCCTTTTTTTTTTTTTTTTGGCCATGCCGTGTAACTAGCAGGGTTTGAGTTCCTCAACCAGGGATCAAACTTGTGCCCCATGCAGTGAAAGCATGGTATCTTAACCTCTGGCCCACTAGCAAATCCCAACATCAACTTTTTTTTTGATGTGGACCATTTTTGAAGTCTTTATTGAATTTATTTTACAACATTATTTCTGTTTTATGTTTGGTGTTTTGGCCTCGAGGCATGT